AAAACAGCACATGGAAGCTTGTTACCTTTTGACTACTGAGGCGGTGCATTAACCTTCCAATTAAGAAATGCAGCAACAAAGGCTATATCTTCTTAAGAGCAAAATGTGTACTAAGGTTATATGAGGGTTTCCTGCACTGTCAAATCAGAACAACTCTTCCAGTTCTACACTGATGTTGAAAAGTGGGGCCTCAGTCTGGAAGGCTGCTTTTTATCAGTGCAATTCCCTATGTTTTACTTGGGCTCTTGGCCACAGACAGAAGTGAAGCAAAGCCATCCTACCTTCTGTTAGTAAGCCAGCAGTTCAGATGATCTTACACAAAACTCAAACTAGTTTTAAACCCCTCATATTTCTCTAGTGATGAGAAAAGCCTCAAAATGATTGAACACACCACTTAGGCAATTTATCTCTGCCACAGCTACTGATTTTGGGGGAAGTGGCAATTTTTTTCTGGAACTGTATCAGAAGGTAACAACTGTATGTCAAAATACTATGGCAATGACTGAGAAGGCATTTTAAACATGACTACTCTGGTGTTTCACTGAGAAAAAGATTGACAAACTGCAGCCATCAAATGTCTTTAAATAATGCTGTACTGGTTTCTTTTCCAGTACAGACAACCTAGCTAAAAACCTGGATGCTGTATTGGTATACAATGTTTTTTTTATATATACACACACACACACATATATATATACAATGTTTATAGATATATATTTGCACACACACATACATAATGTTTTTATACACACACAAACAATTTCATTGCCAGCAAGGGCAACAGTGCTACAAAGAAAATGATCCGACTTTCAGAGGTTAGACTACCTAGGGCAAAACTACCCATTTAAGGATCTACCAAAAGAACCCCTAAAACATCCAAACAAATCTCCAGACTGAAAGACAAGACCAAGCATGTCAAGCCATGAGAGAGTGCCACCAAATAAAAGGCTGAGGTAGACAATGCTACACTTAAGAAGCCAACGCTTCTACTTAACACAAACTTGAGTCTTCACACAGGGAGCCAAGACTCATTTCTTCACAGGGAATGAAGCTGTGTGCAGGGAGTGTCACTGTATAAATTTAATCCCAGAAAAAACAAATGAGAATAGTTTAAGATTATGAAGTTGATGGTTGCTAATAGTTGAATACCCTCAATGTTTATAGCATCTTGGTTTGTTCCTGTGATATAATGATGGCAATTTATGAATTTGAAGAACAGCTAATATTCTGGTACCTGGGGTATATCTCTCTTTCCTAAATAGTCACTGCATTTAAGCAAGATAAAGCTTTAAAGATTTTTGTATTTTAGTAAAAACAACAAATTTTCATTTATCACATTTTCAGTGGAAAACAGAAAGTAAATGATTCCATCTTATGTCAGTAATAAACCTACTTTCACTCCCAGTCCTCTCTCAAAACATGCCATTTTTAGACACACGACTGCAAAGCTTACTTAAAGGATGATCTAGTGATGGGTGACAAAATTAAACTAATCATCTCAAATGGTTGGTTTCCCCTGAGGGGGGTCAATTTTCAGAGTAATTTTAACAATATTCATCTTTTTCTCAATAGATCTATTTAATGTATGTTAGAAAGGCTATTGGTGCTACATAAGCTTTGTCTACAAAAGATATAAATACTGGCAATTAAATCATACCTTACATTCTTCAGAGTTGATTTTGTCTCAACTATTCTACAATCCATATAAGACAGGAAGTCTGGAACTCTGTTATGTTTCCTACTCGTCTTGAAGCAAACAGAGGGTTTTGGTGGGATGTTGTTTTGTTTTAAAATAGTAACACTGTTCCACCACTTCAGGTGGATCAAATATTTTCGTTTCAGATTTACAGATGTAAAACATGCATGTTTCTCCAGATAACCAAGGTTAATCCATTAAAGCAGTACCTTCAATACCTCAGTTTTTATGACTTTTATGGCTGACTCCATTGTGTAATATACTGCATAAAGAAGTAGCCTCTGTCTCAACAAATTTCGGGAAAAAAAAAAAGTCATAAAAGATAATTGAATAACATTTCTTCAGGCAAAAAATTTTTTCCTTAGATTTCAGTGTTCCGTGCAATTTTGGGTAATGCAACACCAGATCCTAAGAACTGGCAGTTTACTTGTCCGCATCTTGCTTAATCCACACAATAAGTACAAAATTCCTATTACACATACTAGGAACAACTATCAAATCTGTTTCATAAGCAGCCATACCACAGCAAGGTCTTTACTTCTACCAAATTGGTTGCTGTGTGAAGTGTTCATTATCTCCCAATCCACAATGAATTAAGCTATGTACATTGGATGGTGAGTGTTAAGGATGTCTCTACATAATGTGTTCTAAAAATATTAATTACAGAAGGGAGGCATAAACAGGAAAACAGGGAATGCTGCCTAATTCAATACTAAATTAAGCACATTGAAAAAAATTGACAAATGTCCAAATGGTTCACATACCTCACAAGTCAACAAGAATTATTTTCCTAACAATGTACCTTTAGTATTACCAAAGGACAAACTTGCAGTTAAATATATGTAAAAATGTACATTCATTCTACTCATGTCAGAACCAATGGTAGTTCTCTATCTTGCTGAAATGTACCCAACAAGTATTAGCCACAGATTCACGGACAGTAGTTCCACACACACTCCATACAGATGTAACAGCCTCTATAATTTCTTTTCTTACAGCGCTAGAGATTCCAGTGATAAAAAGAGAATGCTTCCAAGTCCTGTATTTTCAGTGATTTTTAACTTACTTATGATTGTATTTTAAGAGTAGAACATTTCTAGAGTTACATTAGGAAGACTTAAATCAACACATTTTGTTGCTCCTCTTTGTAATTAGTTAATTGTAGTTTGGAAACACCTGTCAAGCATTTTAAAGCTAAAAGGGATAGAGCTGATAATGGCTTTAGCTGTCACATTTCAACTCAGTCTTTGGCATACTACTGAAAATAATTAATCTAATCCCTAGGAAAAAAAAAATAAATCTATAGATTTGACATTGAATTAATGTCAACTTTTAATACTGGGGGTGCTACTGGGTGACTTAAAAAAATCCTTTTTTGGTAAAGACTCAAATGGATCACTTTCCATACTTCTCCCTACCCAAATGTTAAGACATGTATTCCTTACTTTTACACCATTCAGAATATAAAATCAACACAATCTTTACTTTAAAACTGTTTACATGTTTACATTCTATATATACCTAAGACCATACCTACACTCTTTTTTTGGTATCTCAAATGTTTCTGCTGGAACACACCACATTATCAGTCATTCTCATTCAGCAGTACACACACCAAACTTGTCAACATTTTTCAGCATAAGTGTATATTAAGAAAAACTCCACACCAATGGTTTGCCCACATCACTTGGCAATGTCCCTTTAATATTAATACACAGAGAAGTAAAATTTTTTCATAAATTTGTTCAAGTATGTGGAACATGTAAAATGCATAAGAATCAATATGGACTTCATTAATGTTATATTTATTTATTTTCCAGCTTCATACAAACTGGATGTAGAAGCATAAACATAGTACATTTCTACCATTTTCAACAAAAATATAACCAATATGTACAATTATTGTATTAAAAATACAAAAGGGATACAGACTCCACCAATGTCTTTCTAAAAGACATACAGGTACAAGTAGTATCAAAAGTATGAGGAAATCACCAGTTAATTGTACATTCTGCACTTGACATCACAGAGCGAACTGAGATTAGCAGTCCTATGGTCTACAATTACTTAATGCTTATATAACATTTGTGCAACTTGTGATAGAGCTAGGATTTTGTAATTCTATATGCACATGAGGTCCATAGCCTTTAGAATAAAACTGGCAAATAATGCATATTACATGTAAAATTACAAATGCATGATTGACAATGTGATATATAAGCAAATAGACAAAAGCTATGATTACAGGAGAGAGAATTAAATAAAGCACTGACATTTGTTTGATACAGTGAAAAAACACTGCAATTTGATCTTTAAAAGTTGAAGCTATTTACGTTTATCTACTGATCAATATGATCAGCTGAGTTCAATGGAAAAAAAAAATATCCAAGACCAGCAGTTCCTCACATTTGAGTACTACTCGGATTGGCAGCCTTCACTTCTCCGGAGTCTGTGCAAAACCAACACAAAAATAGAGGGGAGGGTCATTTCAGTCATTATAGGGTTAATAGCAGCTGTGAGCAGGTGGTTGCTACACATTGGCCTTCTCTACACATGCAGTGTTCCATGAAGCCATTAACAGTTGTGACTATTTCTGCATTGCAAAGGCTGGCAAATCTAAACGTGTTATTTTTCATTACTTAAAGGCTCGTTTATCCCCTAATGCCAAAGTCAATAGATGGAGGTTATTAGATCAGTGTTAACAGCTGACAGGAGCTGTGACATCCCAACTTGCCTTCACTGCAATGTTATCCAGTTAATTTTTCTTTTAATTAACTACTATATAGTAAAATAAAAAATATATATATATATATAACTTAAAGGTGAGGTTGCCATCTGTTTCATTAGAATGGGACACTTTCTTTTTTAGTATGCCATCCTGTATCCTGCAAGGCACAGGTATGAGACACACAGTGTCCTCTTCCATCACCAGCCAGTTGCAAGCACACGTTTCTGCATTTACACTAGACCCAGCTGGCTGAGGATGCCATTAACACTAACATTTACAAACTTTTGAAGATTCCAGGGTGGGGCACATTAAGAGTGAAGCAAGACGGTCAAGGAACGGCTGCATCCCCATAACCTCTGCCTTCCCTTCTGCCCTGCTCAGCCACGTGGTAGCAGTACTCTTTTCCAGGAGCTCAGGCTGGCAACCCTACTTACAGGTATGAAATAATACTGTAATCACTACGCAGATGCAGTATTTGATCTCTGAAACGCAAACATACAAAATCGTAACAAAGGCATTGTAAACAAGCAAATAAGCACTGCCTCCTTGAAGGATTTCAATGCATTTTTCTCTTTGTAGATTAAAGGCCAAATGTAATTTGAGAACTAGCTTATCTCATTATCCCAATGAGACTAAGTGCTAGGACTGTGATTAAAATCTAAAAGGAAGATTTAAAAAAAAAAACACCAAACCCTTCCAGGCATTGGGAAGTGCAGCCAGAGTTAATCATCCTGATGTGATGATCTTGGAATTTGGAATGATACTGTGTGATGTGGCAGACAGCGACAGTGGTAGCTTGGAGATTGCTGCACTGTGCATTTCAAGCAACACAGTTTGAAAAGTGCCAGGGCAATTTCTTCACAGTATTTCACATGCAAGGGGAGAGGGGACAGAAGGGGAAGGGGCGGAGGAAGAAGCCCCATGCTGCTTTAAGGCAGGGAAGGAGGCAAATAGGTCCACCATCCTTTAACTATAGTTCCAAGGCTCCTATTCTAGGGACGTCTTCTTGTGCTCTCCTTTAAGGTGGCTCACTCTGGATCCAGAAAAGTCCAAGTCTTAGACAGCAGAGACTTGTTCATCTTCTGCAAACACAACAGGATAGGGGAAAACAGAATTTAGTTCATATAGAACAAGACTGCTATTGAATGAAATAACTGTACTGTGCTCATGTGTTTTCTGTTTCATTGTATTAGGTATGTATTGCAAAACAATCTAAGTATCTGTACATTTCAGGTCTCATGAGTATTCCTCCTTTGTAATTTTGTTCTCGAAATAAAAAAAATACAATTGCTATAACTGAGCTAGGTGCAGTTCCTCACACAACAGCTACTCCTCAATATCCAATAGCTTCATAAAGCCATCTTACATTTTTCCCTGAATACATCTGTGATTTATTTATATTAAGATTGCACAAAAATTGAGTGCAGCTTTAGTCATCATGGGTAGAAACAATTAATATTCTCTGTCATGGTAATTCTTAAAGTTTGAGGCAATTTAATTAAGGTAGACTTCATTTTTTTCCATCATATTCAACTTCTGACTTCACCCTACACATAAAACCTTAGCAATTAAGCAGTTAGGAAGGGAAGGGGAACGTTAGTCTTTCTATGATTAAGCAAAACAAAGCATTCCAATGTGTGATTTGGGCACTGCCCTGACACGATTTTGAGCACCTTGCCCTAAAGATGTAACCAGTTATACCTGCACTCCATAGAAAAATATAGCTCATTACAATTGAGCTAAAGCATAAAGATACAGACACACTGGGCAAGCAAGGCAGCAAAATAGTAGTGGGCTCACTATGTGAAGCAGTTGGTGTGGAAGACCCAATGTCCACCATGTAAGAGTTTTAGGTAGAACGTCAGTGACTATCAAAAATAAACCGGAGCAACAATGCTCTACAGGATGGATGGACAGGTATTCTGTAGACCAGGATACTTTTTTGACCATTAAATACATGGTTAGTGTCAAACAGTAAGTATGCTGGAAACCTTCAGGACAGGCAGGGCTGAACCTGGTGGACACAGGCACCTCCAGAGAAGCTGCCTAAGACAACTGCTTTTTTGTCCAAGATTCAGGTGAACCTAGCATTCCAAATTTTAAATTATATTTAGGAAGAACTGAATTCGTCCCCTTAGAAGAAGTTACAAATAGCAAGTTTTAAAACATGGAAGAGAGCTCAAATTATGGCAAGAATTCTACGGTGGAACACATTTGCGTAATTTGCTTTGTGCCTGTGAAAGCACTGACCGTTTTTGCATGCAGCACACTCAAAATTTAACAATGAGAAATTTACCATCTTCCTCTGTGGAAAACCCTTGAGACGGATAGTGAGCAAGACGTGGATCTGACTCATTTGGTTTATGCCACTGAGGTTTGTTCACAGGCCTGCTGGTTGAATGGCCATGTGACTGCTGCTGTGGAGTTGATGCCCCATGAGTCTCACATGTCCGTGCCACCATTCTAGACCTCTGAAGTGCTATGTTGTAATCTGGAGGCTTTCTGGTTGGATGAGAACCACCTTCTGCAAACTCAGCAATAGGTATTCCTACATAACCAGGAGGAGTTGGGGGTGGTTCCCGATATCGACCCTCTTTTCGTGCTGCAGGAAAAACAACAGACTACTATAAGAGACAGTAAGAGGAAAACTGATCAAAGGAAAATAAACAGTGAAAGTTAAATAAATATCACCCAACTCAACAGCCCAGGAGGAGAAAATCGGAAAGAAAAAAGTTAACTACCATACGGTAGACAATGAGATCTTGAAAAATAAGCATGCAAGAAAGTATAGAATACACAACATATACAGGATATAGCTATTCTTCCAGTAGTGAAGCATTGGTCTAAGAAAATTCAACAAATTACATGGGGAATTTGTTCAAACTTAACAGCTGAAGCTGTTCCATCAATTATATGGAATACAACATATATTGATCAAAGTAACATGGAAGGCTCATCAAGACATGATGGAAGTGACAAACATCAGGAATGCGGGGATCTCCCCAAACACATGACTATCTTAATGCTGAATATGAGCTTTGTATCTAAAAGCTCATTTCTTGTTTTTAGCATCGGGGGGTACAACTCGAAAAGGTAAGGAAGTCAGCTTCATCTTCATACTTTCTGTAAACACTACTGCCTGCTGCTCTTACAGTTCATGTATTCTCTGCAAAATCAAAACTTGAACATATGCCTGTAAGAACAATGATTGAACATGGTTTTATATAGGAGATGGAAAGACAACCACCTAGTTTATGGATCTTATTGAGGCATAACTGTTTACCTGAAAAAGACTTAACTCTGGGCATACTTAGTTCACTCTTGCAGAAAACTTTAAGGGAGGAAACAGCCATTAAAAATTTTAAGCATCTGCAGGGACACACAGCAGATAGGCATGACTCTATTTTGGAGTTACTTATTTACAGAAGTCAGCTGGGACTTTGATACTGAACAATTTTTGTGGGTCTAGCCCTTTAACACATGACCACTTAACTTACAGTACAAAGGCAAACACAGCAGGAAAAAACACTGACACAGACAATTTACTCTCCACAGCTTGTCATACACCATAAATTCTTGCACAAGGGGTGATGACAACATCACCCTGCATTAGGCAGCATGGACTTGACTGAAAGGGCAAAATGAACTTAAAATGGACTGGTGCCAGTTGGATGCAACTTTTTATAAACTCAAAATAAATTCTCGATATTATAGCAAAACCAATAGAATCTAAATATTTTTCTTGGACAATCTGAGGAGAGCAGCATGAAGAAGTTTGAGAAATTTTATTCGAAGACTTCTGAAAAATAGCTTAATCACAGAAGAAATTCTGTAGAAAAAAATCTACTGAAATACTGCAAGAGATCAATGTCTATTCAGTCCAAAAGAACCACGTAAAAATAGCAGCTTCTGTTGGACAGCAATATGCAGTTACATTTGCAGGATAATTAGTAGTACTGAAGTGCATAGGAATGTGTGGTTTGAATTTTCAGGTGCGTCTCACATTCTCTCAAGTCTCTAAAAATGTAATGGCAAACACTGCCTTGAGAGGCAAGTTTGGAAGCATGCTCATTCCACATTCTGGTGTAAATCAAGGGTATCAAAGAGTAAAATTAGACAGTGGCATGAATCTGAACATGGAGTCATGAACTGAGCAGCTTCCTCCATAGTTCAGGGATTCAGATCTGCATGCAAGCTTTGAGACAAAGGGCCATTGCTAAGCAATATTCTTGGGCAGAAGATGGAAAAGCAGTTTATCACAGTGGTCTCAGTGTGACCTCAATCTGGCTGACTTTTTCAGCTGTGTAAGTGCAAAATGGCTTTTAGATAGTTCTTATTAATGTGAAGAAAGGCAAAATGAAAGGAAATGAAAGGAATGAAAGAGGCAAAAATACAGAAGTCTCGGATGGCCCAAGGAATGGGATGTAGAGAAGGAAGTATGAGAACAATGTTAAGCTCTGCCAAAGGCACCTTCAAATTAATTTATATATTATCTGATCTTTCTTTTGTTGAATGATTATAAATGCATTTCAGCTCTAACTTCTTAGGAACCTCTTTAATATCAGCAGTCCAAAGAAACACCTCAGTTGGTAATTATGCACAAAGTGATCCCATTTTCAGAAATAAGGAATATCCACAATTATCAGACAAGTCACACAGATGTATAAAGTAAAACACTTCTAAAAAATCAGGCCACATTTATTAAGATTTCTAAATATAGAACATGGAGCCTTACTGTGAAGAGAAATTCATATTTCAGAACAGACATCTTAATACATCAAGCTCTTAGAACACTGTCCAGCAGTTAAGCTAGTTTTTTAATGTATGCCAGGCTTTCTTGAAACACAAAGGTGCTGCCAGAACTGAGAATCAAAAATAAGTGAGAATTTTCCCTAGCAATAAATGCACAGCTAAAGAGGAAAATTTGAGAGACTGCAAAATGTTTGGGTTTGCTTTAAAAAATGAAACCACACAAAAGAAAATTGGTTTTAGAACAGTATGAAGAAACATAAGCAAATGAATTAAAATACTTCACAGTAAACAAAACTTAACTTACCAATAAGCCCCTTTGTACTACTTGATGATACTGCTATATGAGTGGGCACAGGAGCTGGCTTTGACTCCTCTGCTGGTACAGATGTTATGCTACTGGTTTCAGCTTCAATAGAAACATCCTTCCCACCCCTCCGCTTTATGGTACCTGTATCACCTTCTGAGTCCTCTCCCCAGTATCCTGTTGAGGATGCCCAGCTTGCTCTGGACTGTGCTTGATCAAGACCCTCCCTCCCTTGACTTTGCCTGCCATACTTTGTGCTGTGATCGGGGAACATCAGCTGGTCCATATGACTGCCCGAGGCCCACAGTCCTGCCCCCTCGCCTGAACTATCGAAATGAGCATGTCCAAAAGGCAGAGTCTCCCAGCTTCTCTGGTGCTGTATTGTTTGTATGTTGTCATGAGAACCACTCGAACAAGAAGTCCAGCTACCACGGCCACTGTCAGCTGCATCGAGCGAAGCTCTGTCCCCCTGATCCTGTGACAGTTCTTCTGTACTGGGAGAAGAAAGCACAGTTGCTCCAGCGTACAGGCCTCTGGTCTCTGACAGCGGTGCATATGAGCTAGATGCACATCGACGAGGAAAAACAAAAAAGTAAAATAAATCCACCATTGGAATTGGAGTTCAATTACAAGACACTTGAAGAATTCAACAATCAAGAGAAAAGCAAACATTGAGGGATTGGGCTAGATGACCTCTAAAAGGTTCCTTCCAACACAAACTACAATTGAAGATTTTGATGCAATTTATATTAAATATTATATGCATTAATGAGTAATTCAGGTTTGAGAATAGAACACTTTCCTTTCATGCTCATCCTCAATAAAACAATTACTCAATAGATATCCTGACGAAACTTAACATTTTAGTGGAGTCATTTCACAAGGTAAAATCTTTGCAGTAGCCCTTTAAGACAGGCACACCACATTCACTTATATAAAGGGGAACAGACAGATAGATAGGGTTCCTACTGCTTTTCCAGCCATGCAAAGCAAAGGATCAGAAGTTAGAAACAGAGTTTTAGCAGGGGGTGGCCTATATTCAGGTTCTCAGATTATTTTTTTTTCTGCTTAGGAAACTCTGAAAGCCAACTTTTCAACATTTCTTGCAAATGGAAATGTACTTTAACCTTAATTTTGGAAAGACATACTACTTGGTAGAGAAAGTATGTTCTCTGCAGCCTTCCAGCCATTAAGACAGTGTCCATCCTGACACTGTCACTTACATAGCAGCAAAGAAAAATGACAAAGTGTCACTTTTGTTTAGCAGCTATCCAGGGTTTGGAAGTTGTCTTTCCAGGGCAGCTTGCTATGCAGACCAGAACCCTGCTCTTCCAAACATTTAAGACACCCAATTACAGAGTTTGCATAGCCCAGGATTCCCAAAGCTGAAGTACACCAGTTTTGGTACAGGCCTGCCATTCACAGACCCCGCAGGATTAAAAAATCTGAAACCGTCCAGAGCACTGAAGCATCCAAGTAACAGCTCAGAAAATTAAGTGTAGACTAAATAGGAGCCAGAGCTCAAATTATTTTCAGACCAAGGCTCACTGTTAGAGACTTAGAAAACTACTCGTAGCACTAGATTCCCCACCATTACAGAAGTTAATTACCTAGAAAACCAGCAGCCTAATGAGAATTTTAGCTTCCAATTATTGGTGACTAGAAGAGATATTTGGGGTAAAATATTTTTGACTTAGATAAATATGCACTTTTCTATGAAACAGACTGGAAAATTACTAGCTATTTCTGTTCTCAGCTTGATCACTGAATAATTGTGTGAGTAATTTCTCATCTAATTCAGCTAATTCCCCATCTAGAAAACAGGCTACGATATTAGTCTGCCATAAAGAGGATAATCTACAGCACTGCTAAATGGTCAGATGATAAGATGTACTGAGGTAAAGTCTTACTGCTGTAGACCTCATCACATACTCAGGAGTGCAAAACCTCTTCTTGTCAGAAAATGGATCATTATTACAAAACACAGCATTGAAATAGTAGGTTTTAAGAGCAGGGGAGAAAAAGTATTTGAGAAAGATACAGGGGAAGTTACATGAACAAATATGCATATACATGCCACATACACACTATATGAAAGTATAATGTAAGTAAGCACAAATAAAATTCTTACCCTAAGCTGTATTGATCTGGTTCAATCATAATTCTTCTATCAATCCTTCCCACACCAAGATTTGTCTCCACGATGCTGACAGAATGCCTTTGTCTCCTCTCATCATGCAGGGATACTGGCATAGAGTCAAAAGAGGAATTGCTGACAATACTAGATCTGGAAGAAATTTCACTGTGACCAGAATCTGAAAAGTTATCCACTGTGCCACTAGGAGCCAAAGTATAGCCTGCGAAGGGAACATCACATTAATCAGACACTCCAAGAATACTGCTATCATACTAAATCAAAACTACGATTACATTTGCACTGCAAAAGGTGAAGATACATAGCAGAACTGTGTAACATCATGTAGTCTGTGTCTTACTAAGGGGTTTAAGACTGAGGGAAACACACACTACTCATTTAGAAACCAACTACTCACCTTCCCTCTTCTGTGCCCTCCTCCCCTAAAATATTTTCAAATGTGTCACCATACTTGTATCCCCACATTATGAAATCTCACTTCTCAAAAAACTGCCCGTACATAAACTCTGTCTCCAAGATCAGAATGAAAGCGATGCCCTGGGCAAGAATACTGCTTCAAGTAATCCAAGAGACCCTCTCATACAGTTTTTCTGTTCTGCAAAGCTACACTTCAGAGATGAACAGTAGATACAACATGAAGCCCAGATGTCTGAGTTGAGTGCTTATTGCTTATCTTGGATAAGAGAAGGCCAGATTTTCAAGCTTTCTTTGTGGTACTTGGCTAACTAATTACATTCCAAATAGCATATATTACCAGAATTATACCATAATTTGGAGGTAGCATTGACACCACCAGGCTGAGATAAAATCTGCAAAACATGTCACAGAGGCAAATTCAGAAAATGCAGCTTTTGTTTTAGTATTAAACAAAGTTGTGCCGGATGCTCTTGCCAGCTAAGTTAAAGGTCATTAAACAACACACACCCACAAGAGCAGTTTTCATTTTTTGCTTTCAATCTACTTGTGTCAAGATGACTTAAATTGATCTATCCCAATTCACTTGCTGAGACCATGGAATTAATGTTGCCATTTTTGTCTGAAAGAATATACCATTAGCTTCATGTCACCATTGAACCAAGGATTTTTAAAAAAAATTATAATCATGTTTGCGATTTACTTTTTGCAAAAATTAAGTACTTTTTCCACTATAAACCTTTTTCAAGAAATGCACAGGCCCAACCATATTAATATAAATTCACTCTTTGTGAATGTAGTATTTGGGAGAAATCACAATGATAGCTTACAAGGACTTGAGGTGACAATCTAAGTCTTCTCTACATAACATCCTTCTCCATCTGACTTAGTGAATACCACTTCAATACAGATTTTGGATAGGCGTTTGTACTTTCTTGCCACATTAATCTCTTCCCTTTTCAGATCTCTGCTTATCCAATTGGACTTATTCTGGAGCCATAAGGCCTCAACTGATCACCACTGTCACCTACCAATGTAAGAAAAGGGCTTAGCTTTCCATTTGATAAGAAAGTAGGAAAAGTGATACTTGCATAAGTTTCGTATCTTTGCCATCCCTGCGCAATTTAGGGAAAGTTATTGCTACAGGGAAATCTCCAACACGCACATCTCATTAGTCTTCTGAATGTCCATTATGGGACTCAACCCCAAAATAAATAAATAAATATATATATATATATATATATATATATATCTATATATCACAATAATGTTGTGTTACATAACTGTTAAACCAAACTTTTATGATATTCTGAAAAGAGAATAACTTAGAATTTATCTGCAATACAACTAGGCTATCATACCTCCAAAAAGGACTTTTTTTTTTATTGTTTAAACTACAGGAAAATGCCTCCATTCTTCACTTTGTCAATTCATAACCAGAACAAGTACAATGAAAAAAGAAAACAGGCTTTAAAAAAAAAATCTCTTTAAGTCCTAAATTCACTTAAAAAAAAATAACTATAGGAAGTCACTTAAAAATAACACAGTCAAGCAAGATCCATGTTCCATATACACTGTTTGAATAATCAGGCTGCTAGTAAAATGTTGTGTATTGGTGATTTGAAACCTGAATATCTTAAGCCTCCCAGTCATACATAGATCATATCCCATCCAGATGCATGACACAGCAAATAACTCCTCTAATAGGCTAGAGTGCTCAATGTTGTATTAAGATTTTAAGTTTCAATCTGCACATCCTTCTACTGACAGGAAACACTGATGATTGGAATATTTTTGTCAGAAGCAGCTGCAGCGAGAGTGACCTACTGCATCAAATCCTGTATCAGAGTGGCCTATCTTTCCTGGATTTTGCTAGCCACAGGGCATTCAGGTATCCCTGAAATCAGATTCCCAGGTATCCTTCCACATATCCCACTCTGCACTAACTTCCTGCCCTCTTGCTGACCATATGTGACAAAAATAGGAGCAGCAGTAGTTTATTCTGAGAGTCCAAATTCTCTCTTGGAAGTTTCCAAAGTCTATGAGCTTCAGGAAACAAGATGAGAAATACCGCAGGTTTAATACCTTTCCGTGGAGAGCTCTGTGGTGAAGTGGGAGGAGAAGAAAGCTGTGAAGATGCACTTGAGACTGTGTCTTCAGCCTGTTTCTTGTGACGATCCAAACTTCCTTCTTCAGATAATGAAAGAATTTTCTTTAAAGCTTGTGGGGAGTTAATGCCTTTGAATAAGATTTAACACAGGCAGATGTAAAGTCCAGTATAAGTCCATCTTTCTCTTTCACAATGCATTTATAGAGCAGACACCATACAGGAAAAACACAAAAATTTTTTCCTGTGTGAGTTTCTGACACCAGCTTAAATGAAGCAAAATGCTTAAACCTACTACTGTTTAAAATACAGTGCTTTATTTTTGCATCCAATCTTTCATTCTGGCCACCTAAAATAAATACTTTGCCACTAAAACACAATGCAGATTTGTTGTTGCAGAACACTGCCTAAACAACATATAATCAAAGATAAGCATAGTAATGTTTATTGAGAAACTTGAACTAAATTATTGAATACAAACACATATAAATCTCACTGGTTAGTGATGGCTTATATAGTAAGAATTGAAACTGTTCTCCTGTTTTTTTTTTCTATTCAGAGTAGCCTAGAAGGTCAAAGAAAGCTGGAAAGATTAATAAGATCAGGCTTACAAAACAAGGCCATCCTGCAGCTGCATTTCTCCCCTTCATTTTTGAGAACTATCTCTGCACCAGCTTATTTTGGGAAACTAAAAGAGTAAAAACATCCTGAAGATGATTTATGATATAAAGATCTAGGGCATCAAGAACTGCTTTTCTCGGGCAACATTCATCCATATTTCTCTTCCCCTCCCCTCAAAAATCCACCCTGGGACAGTCTTAAAAGTGAAGACAGAGCTTCTCTGACAATTTTGTCAATGTTTGTGGTAGAGATTATTTTCAAGCATTCTACAGAATTTATCTTTGATCTGTTGGATCACAATGCTGCTATCAGTAATTCACAGCTGCTTCATCAACATAACCTAGTCAGTCTTCAGAAACTTTCCTACCACGAGCAAAAATGCAGTCTACGGCACTTCAAAGTCCTTTAAAGATTAAAATTTAATGGTAAAATCAACAAGAACTAGATTAATATGGATTTTTTTTCTTGCTAATTTTGTTGCTTCTATTCTGCTAACAGTCTAAGCAGTGCACAAGTAAAACTAATACAAAGTGAAATCAGAATTAAGCTCTTGTGAAATTACCATCATGCAATAGAAAGGGTCAATTATGTGACATAAGATTACTAGGAATATTACTGTACTTGAAGTGAGATGTAAGAAGTTCTTTAATAATGCATATATGTTACTTACACCTCTTGTGATACAGATTTGGAAATTCCTATAGTCCAGTATCTTTCTGAGCGACATGCAGGCACCAATGACTGAACAACTACAGTAAAAAAGCACTAGGGAGCAGAAGCCAAAGGGACAATTCTCAACAGGAAACTTCAGGCCTACCTTTCTAACAGGACTACCAGTTTGAGCAAGTCTGAATTTCACATTAAATGTTCAACTTTAAAAAAAAAAAACCTCCAAAACTTCTAAGGCATCTCAGATGCGTCACTCAAAAACTCCAATTCACTAATTCCTTCGGCAAAGTTAAGCCAAGATCACAGGACAGAGTAAGAAACGTTCATTGTTTCCAGCTGCTAGTAACAGGTAAATACTTATACTGATTGACAGGATGCTTTCCTAGATTTCTTTCTTTCCATTTCTAGAGAAGAGAATTATGCATACACACTGCATATGCATAACATGCATATAATACTACCAGAAATAACTGTCTGAATCTGATTGGATTAAAAACATCTCCCTTTCATAAGCAACCAAACTTTAGAAGATTAAACCGACTGCTTCATTGTTCCACTTACCAAATGGTGGGAGGTCTTTGACTGGCACTTTCTTGCGAGAGGGATAAAGAGATACAGCAGGGACCTGCAACGCTTGGTTTACTTTATGTTGCTGCTGCTGCTGCACTTTCTGTTGGATGCCTGCCCGGGGAGCCACTGGTGATGTTTCGGATTTTCCAGATCGCTTGTCTCCTGTATTCTTTGGCACTTTGCAAGAAGTGGGAGAAAGCACAGAATGACTACTAGCTAAAGATATTATGGGAGTTTTAATCTGAGCCATGCAAAGTCCTCGAATTAATAATTAAAAGGTACTCAAATACTTGTATAATTAATACAGTAGGATACCTTTAGAGAGAAAAGTTGAAGAGGAAAAGAGGGGGAGATTTAACCCCATTTAAAATATGTACATTATCAAAAAACATTTACACTCTTTCTCAAAATAAAACTCTCATAAATGACAATTGTTATAGTTATCAAAACCATGACCAAAGTTATACTGGGCTATCATAAGGACTACAACTGGTTTAGAATGGATACATAATTACTCCTTTTTGCTACCCCGAAGGACAGCATTCCCTCAAATCAAAATGAAACCAATCTCCAACATAAGGTCCCCCTCTGCTCCAGGTGTCTCTAAAACACCTAGACATAAGGAAATCCCTCTTTCCCTCTCAAGGCCAAGATATCCAGGATGACCAACCCCATTCACACCAATAGCCTGAGTACATCAAGCTATAGAGAAACTTTTGGTTCCTCCATACCCTTTGTACAGGCAAACCTAGAGAACCTTGTGCACTTTAGCGTGACATGATCTGAAAGCCTTATCTCCTCCATAAATGCTATGTCTCTATATACTGCTAAGCTGCAAGATGATTTCCTTAAGATTCACAGATATTCAGTATTTGGAAATAACTAGACAGATGATTTTCCATGTCATTGTCTAGTTACTGTTCCCAGTTACTTCCTTGGAGAAAAACCAGAGATATATTTAACGGTTTCCTTGAAATCCATAACAAAAGACAATGCTCACGTGTGTTGGTGGCTGGCTCACACTGCAGAGACAGTGTCTGGAGGCTCTCTTCATCCATCTCCAGATCCAAGTTTGAGAGATACTGCTTTACTTTCCGTGCCATCTGAGCATCTTCATACAATTTTTTAGCATTAAGGAAGGAGCTGCGACGGACACGCTTTTTATGACCCCCCGTTTGCGCAACATCCAGCACAGCTGCATTTGTACTGCCCTGGCTGAGGGACCTGGAGTGAAAGGGGGGCAGGAGCGGGAAGAAAGAGGGGAAAAGCATGCATTAGTCCTACACGGTATCCCTTCATACAAATGAAAAGTGCAAAAGATTGCATAAGTGTCAGTCTACAGTCAAAGCTTACATGCCTCATTCCAGTAAGTCAAACAGCTATAACAGATAGAAAGATGAGGGTCAAGAAATCTTTTTACTTTGTTACAGGCACTATTTTAATTACACAAATATTTTAACCTATTCTGCTCCAACTAGGCAATATCACTTCACACATCTAGAAAAGCATTCAAGCTAGCTCTCTCACATAAGCCAGCTACTGAGAAGACTGGAGCATTAGGAAAAGCTCATGCAGTAAGTCAATGCTGACAGAGACTACAGTTGAGGTTCAAATTTAAATACATATATGTAAGGCATAATACATAAAGCTAAATACTTTTTCAGCCGAACTCTATACAAAATGCACAGCTCAGTTTTACAGAACAGAACTTCCTTGTAACTTGCTAGGTTTAAGACAGCTTTTTGTTAAATAATATGATCAGCTAGCATGATGAAATAAATGTCATGCACATTGCAATGTATGTATGTCTATATGAAAGCTATGCGTTGTTCCTGAATTGTTAAGAGCAAAATTGATGGCTGAATTGCAATATGAAAGTAAGTTAGTTTAGCAGATACTCTAAAAGTTTTAACTTTTATATTTGATTATGATAATTGCTTATTAGGAATAAGAAAGTTAACAGCAATTTTCAGCTCTTGCAATCTTGCCATTTTATAATTTCTCTTTTACTGAGGGTCACTTCCTTTGACAATTTAAATTGGAGGCTGAGGAGCAGAACACCCCACTCCTATCAACAACCACTTATAAATAATTTACAATTTTTGTATTTTAACCTCAAAAGCAAAAGCACTCCTGGATTAAAATGTATTGTCAGTAAAAAGGGGTTAACAAAAGAAAAAAATATCAAAGCACCAGAAGATTAAAGATAGCAAGTAGAAAACAATGCAAATGGTAAGGGAAGAATGAAAGTCTGTGTGTGTTGTCTCCAACCACTTACCCCAAACTCCTCCATTTCTTCTTCCTGCAAGTGAGAGCCAGGAAGAGTAAAGCATGGGTTTAAGAAGAGACAGAGAAAGATCACAAGCTCAGAAAGAAAAAGACCAGACCAGGACAAGCAGTTCTGGAAGCCCACAAACATTAAAAAGAGCCTTGACTCAGGTGTACAGTCAGATATTACAAACTCTTGTACCTCAAATTAAAATAAAAGAGTATGCAATAAGCTGGTTTAACATGAAGCCAAAGAGCATTCACTCCACGTTTTCTAACACTACTATCTGACACCATTTCAGATTACATTCCCACTTCTACTAAATCAAAATAAGGCTGGCACACCTCAATGTTTCAAACAGTATAATATGTATGTGTTCAAGAAGTATCTCCCCCTCCCTCCCACTGATGGAATCTCATTTTTATGAAGTAACTGGCAGTTAAGGAGTAATGTAAAACATTTATATATATATATATATATTGATAAACACAAAATGTAATGATTTCTCCAGTGTTAGAACACCACATATTTTTTGTAAATTGTTAACAAACAAAAAAATTCATGCTGCTCCAATAGAACTAGGGGCACTTGAAAGGCACCTCTTGCTGACACCTAGCCTTCTCTCAGCTGGAAAAAGCTCTGCCTAACACACTTACCTTGTTCTAAACATTAAAGCAGGATCCATGTTCACAGATGCCATGCGACCAACATGGCGTATCTCCTTCGCAATCATTCTCAGCTTCTCAAAATTGACCAAGCCTTCCACTTTTGAATCATTTCCTGCAATCAACAATTAACAACATCAGTTACTAGGTAGCAAAGTTAGTTTTCTGTAGCTGGTAAAAGATGATGTACTTTTGGTTTACCTTCATGAAGGAATGTAAGGTCTTTTTTGATAACAGGAAACAGGGGGATAATGGGAGGCTGTAGGTTTTGGCTGTTAAGGACGTTACGATATTTTGCCATATTCCTAGATGGATCAAACAAGTCCTGTAGATCTTGAAACAGTTTTTCATACTTGCTTGGAAGCTTTTCCCAAGTAGTTCGGAGCCTTGCAACTGGTGCCAAATTCAGGCCACTGGAAACAAACAAACAAACAAAAAAGTGCAAAAAAGTTCAAGAATAATAGAAAAAACAAAATAATCCTAGAAAACACCATGTGAAATTTTGTATGAGAAACACCATATAGCCAACATGCACAGCACAACCATATCAATAAAGTAACAGAAAGCAAGAATTTCCTTTTGCCAGTGTGTATTATACAGAACAATTAAGATAATTTTTGTAAAAACCATAAAAACTGGAGGTATCTGCATGATGTAGCCATAAACAGATAAAAGTTACACTTGGATAACTAATTAAACCTTACAGACACTATGTACTTACTACTTTGGAACAGTGTCTGAATTTGGTAACAATATCATAATTTAGGAGTACCTCAGGATCACCAGTTATTTCCAGATTATCAGACTGGAGGAAAAACCCACTACATAATGTTTAGGTGATGACAACACAGTGACCCACCTTCTTGCTGCAATAATCCATTTGACTTTGTTGTGTCTAGATCAGACTGATATAACAGACTCTATATATCTGAGGTTATTCTGACGCTGTAGCTGGTACAGAACCCAGTTTTTTTCCCCTTAATGACATTGCCTGTCATGCTATTAGTTTCTACCTATGGGAAAGTCTGGTTATCTTTCCTTCCTTCAAGTTTTTGCTAGTAGGCAAACTGCTTTTATTTCTCATTGAGATCAGTTGAAAAATCTGAGCTAATTCTCAAGATTTATATGTCTCAGAGAAGCTGACAGATTATCAGTATGGATCCCTGACTTTGGAACTTGGCACATTTGACTGAATGGTCAATTCAACAGATTGAATGTGACAAGGGCTTTTGCCAGAGACAGGGATAAAATTGTCATTTTAATGCAACTTACTCAAGCTTTTTTAGAAAAGACAGTATTTGGGGATTTAAGGTTTCCTCTCCTCTTCTTCATTCCAAAACTAAGAAAGGTTTTCTCTATGAGATTTTTCAGTACTTTTAAAATTCTTATTAAAAGCTCTTTATTTATAGTTTATTATATGGCATCGTAATCTGCTATTGATTATTATCAGAGTTCCATCCAAGAAACTGCTGATACAAAGAAAAGCAAAGACAACATATCATGGCTCAATGAATTCAGGATACTGAGAACTAAGTATAAAATGATGAGCTCTCTTTGGGAACTTAACCCATTCATTTGTGACAACGTTATACTTTTTATTCATATAACTGCTATTTATTTAGATTTTTGTTTTCAGGTAGGAACCGTAGTTTCTCTCATGCCATGTTCACCAATGACTGTTGACTCCCTGTCTTGAGCAATAAGTACATAATAGTAGCATTCCAAATAGTATTTCAGCAAACATTTCAATTCCAAGTTCAATGCCAAGGGAAAATGCCATTTTTCTTGGATTGCCAAGTGTTGATGTTAGCAGTGTTAATTGGTTTACTTTGTTAAATACATTTTTTTTTTAGACTGACATAAGACTTTGCTTTTTACTTAGAAGTAAAATTATTAAGGGCCAATACCTAATGATGGCAAACATTGAGTTGAAGTTCTTGCATTCTCTGCAGTGTAGTGCTATCTTAATGAAATGCTTAATGATCTTCATCCTTTTCAGCTGGTTGGTTTCTCTTAGAATCTCAGAAGCCACCCAAAATGTTTCTTGATTTATCACCTCTTCAAACTTTTTCAGATTAATGCAACCTGTTTTTGATTTGAGTTTAAACAAGTCGTCTATGTATTCTGTGGGTTCAATATTACGGAATAGCTCAAAGTTTCTCATGGAGAGTTGGGTAGCCACCTCAACAGTACTGAGCTGCAGTAGGGAAATTTGACTTTCCCTTAGTAACTCTTGAGCGTCTTCATCTGAACAAAGAGTTTCTGTTTCCATGTTGTTCTTCAGGTAATATCTGTAAAAACAAAGTTCAGAAAGACACCTGATACAATATACTCAAATAATAGTGAAAGTTACAGTAATGATCTAGTTGGAATTTCAGAATAAATTGAATTTCACCAGGCCTACATATTAATTAGAATTTGCATAGGAGCAATTTCTTGTAAAGAAACAGAACATTAATAATTAAATAATGCTCTTATTAACAAGATTTTGACTTAATAAACTGGTATCATCAGCTTTAGCTCACAGTCTCTGACCTCACCTGCCACTCAGCTGTATCCTGTCAGCAAGCTTGGATAACTGATCTGGAAGCCTCCTTTGCTTGATTACACCCTCAGGTGTGACAGAGACTTCGCATAGTGAATATGCATCAGGGGTTGCAGTGAGAGCAAATTCCCTGATAGCCTGGATCACCACTTCTTTTGCTGTTGTGTCCTTACTGATCATGATGTAGCGACTTTGCTGATCTGCCTTGAAAACCCTCAGAACTTGATCTGGTAGGTCTGGAAGAAAAATTACATGCGCAGTACGCAATTTAATAAAGAAACAAAAATTAGTGGTATAAGAATAAGCAACAATATCAGTCAGATTGAGTCTAATTACTAGTGCTAAACATTTTTACTTCGGTATCATTGTTTCACCTCTACTTCATATAAAACAGCTGGGCTTTTGAGGGTTTTTTTTATTGATTTCGGTTTGGTTTTAGATGTTGTTCGTTGTGGTGGTGGTTTAATTTGTTTTAATGAAAGACTAGTTCTATTAGCAAGTTAGTTAAGCTATCAATAGGGCAAACCACAAAAATGTTGTTAACATTTCCAGAGTTTGGACAAATGAACTAACAAGCAGTCTGATTTTCAGAGTCCTGGTAAGTTCCATTTAAGTTTGAAAAAAAATTAAGGACACGCAACAACACTACCCTATACACTTGACACACTAAGAAATTTAAGCAAATTAGGTGATAGGAGTGTCAATCTTCCTAAGGATGTTTTTAAGAAAATAGACTTATTTACCTAAGTCTGACACTCAGCCCTAGTGTCACACATAACAGGAAGACATGTACATACAAGTAGCTAGGAAGATGCATGTATAATGGTCGGCATGCACATATACACAAATAAACTGCAGTAGCATTAATGCATCCAAGTATTAATTATCAAAAATACACTCTTGATACACTTAAATCATAATAGTGTATAAGTAACAGACTTATAGCTTGCTTTTATTTCTCTGTGCCAATGTTTTAGTAATTAAGAACTAAAGCAGCCAGAGATAGAAAAACACTTCACAAATACTCGAGTTCTGAATATATTATTGTTTCAAGTGCTGATGGCAGAAAACTTACACTAGACACCTACAAGGCAGCTGTTTTGAGGAAATCTGGAAAATGACCAGTCTAACTCCAAACATTATACATATTTCCGTATTGAAATCTAGACCCATTAATCAACTGAAGTTTGATTGTTATAATTTTATTTTTTAAAAAAGAGTTAAAATTTCTTAACAAAAGGTATTTTTAACTGACAAGTACTTTCAATTTAATATCTTCCCTCTGTTACAAATAACCTTTTTTAGTTTTGTGTGACATTACATCTGGTCATTATTCTTTCTTTAATGAATATGTTTTAAAAAAAATGTATTTTCTTTATTTTCTGTAGATCATAAAGGTCCTATGAACAAGCTAAAAAAATTATAGAAACCCTTCTGCATCTACAGCCAAAAAAATATCACTGTTAAAAAAATACTGAAAAAACAGCTGTGAGATGAAAACATTCATTTTGATACAACCACAATCTTTTCTGACAAGACCTGAATGTGCATGACATGCATTCAGGTTACTACAGGAAGATGTATTCGGCAACAGAAATCTCGAGACAAAGACACAAAAATTAACATCTTCCCACTGCCGCTGCATGTCTCCAAAATAATCATTTGGAAAGCATAAAGATAAATCTCTCTGATATGAGTTGATTTACATGCCACAAAGGCTGTTCAGGCTTAAATACATTAGTTTACAGATTTCATGCAACCAAACCCAGAACTTTTAAGTTCACAGTAGTATTTCTGCAGCTTGAAAAGCACTAGTACCAAAACACATTACAACGGACTACATCATCAGTTACACATAACAAGCCAGTACAGCCGTAAGTACTTGAGTCAAATGTACAAATAACTTATAACTAGCAAGCCAATTTTGCCTTTTATCGTAAACTCTATAACGACCTGTTTTCCTTCAGTAATTAGTTGAAGAAGGATACAGAGCAGTGCCTGAAATAACGTCTACATTTTTTTGACATTTGAGGATGGCAGATGTGAAAGACGTTATTGAAAACCAGACTATTCTCTAGATCTTGTTGCCTCTTGCTGTTACTTGATCAAATAAATGCTACGAAGATGAGAAACTACTGTAAACAATACCAAGGTGGGAACTAACTTGCTTAACAGTCCCAAGAAACAAGTGTTTTGTGCAAGGAGAAAATAACCTGCTCTGCTGGATCACATAAGTCAAGATGAAGAAATGCAGAGAACAGCAAATAGAAAAGTACCATCTTTGCAATGTATTTTACCATCCAATTTCTCAGGCTGCATACCTATCAGAGCTGGTAGCAAAAGCACTACACAGAATACAGCCAAGTCTGCCAGCAACTGAAATGATTCTAGCAGCAGTAGCAAGTAATTCAGATAATACTTTTTAAATAAAACAGCACTTGAAGTGTAATCACCCCCCTTCACTCCTTTTCAAAAAAGGAAACTGGAGTGGCAGGCTGAAGAATGCAATGCTATATGATAGGAATCTAGCAGCTCATCATTAGTATATTATTTTGACTACCAATCAAATAGCAAAAGCAGCACAAGAGAATAGAAATCAAAGTACTATTGAACATTTAAAAATAAACCTTAAAAAATATATATGAAAATGTGTGAGCAAATCAGAAGAGAAACAAAACTGATTCCTTGCGGATTTCAAGCTGTTCTCATTTTCTCCTCTAAGACTACCCTTCCAAAGCAGCAAGTTGTTTTATTTTCTATCCCAAGGGATATTCCCCAAGGCCTCAAAAGGATGAGTATTCTACCACTTTTCTCTTTCTTCTCCATTGCATTCAATTTCTTGCAAGCTGCCTCCATCTCCATCTTTAATTTAGCCCAAGATAATAAAAGAAATTAAAATTGAAGGCTTTACATTTTTTCCAAGTCTTAAAGTATATAGATATATAATTCAACTGTTCTATCTACAATGCAACCACCCCTAAAGCCCTTAAGATATATGTTTTTTTAAATTTCAGTCCCCCTCCTTTCAACACAGGGGAAAATTATACCTGCTAGTTACTTTAAAAATATTCAGTGTGTGGACATTTGGGCAAATTTTAAGTAAAGAAATAAAAACTTTTTTTTTTTTATATGAGAAAGCACAAATTACTTTATAGAAAATGTTTTAAGATAATGGAAAAGCTGCTATAATGCTGAAGAAATGGCATGACATCATTATTGTATACAACACACTTGAAAAAATAGGCATCTAATACATTCAGATAAAGTATTATTGGAGCAAAGGTAATAAAATCTAATGCATTAATATGTGCCAGCATACAGTTAATAAAAAAACTCACATGTATCTTCAGATTCTGGAAGACCAGAACAGAAAAAGGAGATCAGTGAAAGGAGGTAAGGTCAAGAACAACAAAAAAGGATCCTTCTTACCTGGAGTAGTATTGAAGTCTAAGATGCGGTGATGAGACTGCAGTAGATCGGGATTACTGGATGACAGAGTTCCGCTGACAGGTAAAGCAGGAGGAATGTGCTTCGTTTGCCTCAGTCCCACAATGCTGTCATCCTGAGACTGGCCAATTCCAATGTCACTGTGTCCAGAAAGAAATAAAATCAGGACTTACAAACATTTGGAGCTTGGGCTATACTAGAGGGATACAGGGATATCTATATCACTACATTTTCACACTTTCAATTGTTAGTACATTAATCACTATTTAGAAGTTAAAATCCTCCAGACAACAGTCTTTGCTGTCTAGCTTTGTCAACAGCACCCGGACGTCCACTCAAAGGGATCTGATCTGTCAGCTGTCACTGTCAGAAGATCCTTATGTTCACTACTAAGCTTTTAGTTGCTGCTAGGCTCATTATTTTATGACAATTTCTTCCAACAGCCAAGATGTTTATTCAAAAGGCAGTACATACCTCATCATTCTTGAACTACCCCATCACCTGAACTTTGCCTAAGACTGCTGTCCCCTCAGTGCTCTTTTATAAGACCTGAATTTCACAGATTTTTCACCCCATCACAGATAGGATCTGCAACTGTACTTCAGGACATATTGTAGCCATACTATCTAAGATCTTTCAACAGACAGATAAGAGAGGATCTTTGCGATCATCAATTTTCTTACCCTGTATCACCTTTTCCGAGTTTCTCTTCACTGAGTGTGACTGAAGTGATGCCAGCTAACTTGAAAGGCTAAGGTAAGCACCTGCACTTGGGTGCTATCATTATCCCCCTCAAAGTGCCCAACAGCTGTAAATAAAGTATTCTGTGATAAGGGTGAAGGATTTTGTCTATTGAACTGTGAAAGACAGGGTCCCAAAGAAACTCAGTACTGCTAGATGGATCAGAGATAGAGCTATGATCATATTATTGTAGACACTAATTTGCTTATTGCTTTTGAGTTCATAATCAGCAAGTGAAGTAAACAACTGCTACAGGAGAGAGTTGGAGCTAGCCATTGAATTTTTCTATAAATATATAGATGCAAATCCTTAATAAAATAATCTAAGGGTGTAAAATGTTGAATAGCAGCTATTATAGAAAATGAAAATAATTTAAAATGTACTTACTATAGGCAAAGCCTTTTTAAAAGCCAAGCACATCTAAATCTGTATTTACACATGTAAATAAAAGCATAAACCAGAACTTTGACTTCATTGCAAACTCTAAAAAGTCAAGCTACTAAATGAAATGATGCAACACAAATGACCATTTGTACACTAGGTTTTGGGCACTTGAGCTTTTGTCTAGTGTTCCATCCATCCTCAGAAATCCTAAACAGAAACAACTAAGGCCCTGATAATTATCCCTGTTGAGCTGTTACGGCACAAGCATCCTTTTGTGCATAACCAGTGAATTACTTTACCCAGTACACTCTTGTACCACTTCTTTAAGTGCTATGAATTGAACAGTACTCTGGGAAGCCAGGACAGTATCTCTGGGCATTTAAGACACAACTTTAATTATATGGACACAGCAACTGCTTTTTAGAAGGCAATGCAACTCAAAAAAGGTTGGACCAGTATCTCTGTATGATGGTTTTGAGTTATCTCATTTTGTTTTTAAGAAACAGGATAACTCCGTATTACCAATATATTTTACGGTGTAAACCCCAAGGCATGAGAGTGACAGGAACACTCAAGTCCATTGACAAAAAAGTTCTTGGATTTTCTCTCAATCAGAAGTTAAGCTGAATCTGAACATCTGTATTTTTGTACTTCCACATAAAGCATAAAATACCGTGACAAGCATTGGTGATCAACTCAGTGCATAGCACTTTTATGCAGAGCTACAAGCAAGTCTTTCACTATAACTAAAAGCATTCCCAACAATCAGCGTTGTGTCTTTCAAGTAGGAACCACTCTACATACACACAAAATGCCAAATAAACAAAAAACCCCAGAGCCCCTAAAATCTCAAAATGCTTTCTGGTGCTTCTAAACAACTATACAGTATACAAAAATGTGCCAACACCAGTATTTTCTCTAAATTCAAATCAAATGAAGACAATATGACCCTCCTCATATTAATAGTCTCACTTGCATTATATATTACTTTTGCAGCTTGTCAGTTTTATATAATCTTATACCCATCAGGGGGAAAAGGGAGTTGCTTCTTTTTCGGGGGTGCTGCAGAACTTTGCTAGAGAAGGAGGTGGGGGATTCTGTTTAATCCTTATCTGGAGCAGCTGAGCCTACAGACTACAAAGCCATTCTGATTAGAAGAGTAAAAAAAGCAAAGAGCTCAAGCAGAGGCTGTAGCCAGAAGCACAGTTCAATAGATACCCTATAGCTGGTGAAGAGAAGGCAAGGGAAATGGTTCTGTTTGCTCAGTTCAGGAAGTTACTTGACATTATTGGACTAAAAAGCAAGACCAAAGGAAGGCATAATCTCTTGCTCTGATTTGTCTTTGATTCTGATTTAATGTCTCACGAAGCAGACAGGCTTCCTTGAAGAGAGACCTCATTCTAGTTTATAGATTGGTTTACCTGGACATATTCTGGAGGCAATGGAGACTTCTGCAATATTCACAGTCAAAAGAGGTGGACAGTTTCACCTCATAAGCTGACTCATTAAGTCTTTAAATATCTACTTGAACGAGTAAATCAGCTTTTTCATCCCTCTTGATTTTTGGTATTTAAAAATACATGAGATAGGTAAAGTCCCTTAATATATGCAATATCATTAATTATTAGGAAGAATGAGATTAAAGTTTCTTAAAAAAAAAAGAGCACATACAGGAAAGTCTACAGCTACACATCTCTATGCAGAAACCATGCAGACAGAAACAACTGAATGTCAACAGGCTTTGCAGAAAAGTTGCTATATATAACACATGAAGCAAAACTAGCAAAAGGAAGAGAAAATAGGTCAAGTGTACTATTTTTCTGAGTCTTACCCAAATAAGTCCCTGCACATAAAAGTGCAAAAATGAAAGGAATCAAAGGAAAAAAGAAAATTAAGAAGAAAATTTTATGCAAAAGTTGTGAACAATGGTGAAAAATGTGAAAATTCACGCTTAATAGTATGCATGCCTCATCAGAAGAACAAACATACAAGACCAGTGAAGTAAAAGAAAACATTCTAAAGACAAACAACATAAAAAGAGTATTTACAGATTCTCCTCTAGTGAAGTGTGTATCTATGTCAATTTAAGAAATATCCATTATCAGAATACTGGATTACATTTGTATTCATTTAGCCTTTACATTACTAACATTCTATTTATGATGTTTCAGAACAGTATTCATTTAGTAGAGAATACCTAACATTAGGTTAGGCATTTTTTTTAAAAGTGTTATCAGAAAAAATCCTAAATTTTCAGCACAAGTGTCTTTTTCATTAATTTACATAGAATAGATTTCTTCCTCAGTGGGACACAGAAAAGAAAAATGCAAGAGAAAACACTGATTACATATCAACTACCATTCTACAATTAATTTTTCTCCATCGATGCCATCTGTCTTGGCCAAGGACCAGATTCCCATAAAATCATATCAATCTCATCCTTCTCTTGTTCCTAACAATCCTCATCACAATTCTATTTCTAAAATGTGTTCATAGAATAAAAGATATCAGATACCGTATTTAGCTTTCATTAAAAAAATATTCAATTCTCTCAAAGAACCCAAGTTAGAATTTCAACCTCAGTCTCCCTTATTGCAGTACACAGGAATTCTTCTAGACCACTGGTATGTGGATGAATTTAAATTATTGCTCCTATCAATCACTTGCAAGCAAACCTGCTTGCAGAGTTTTCTGAAATTAACTGCCTGGGACCCTTCCAGTTAACAGTCCTCTTAAAAGAAAAAATGACGTGCAAAAGTATTTGTGCCATCATTTTATCTCTAAGAAGTAAAATATGTCCATATTGATGTCAGGAACTGCATTGTCAGTAGTCTATGATCATTCAAATATTCAGCCTAGTATTTTCTACTATATTTTTCAGATATAAGCATAGTTTGCATTAATAAATAAAAAAGGGATCATGACAAATTATAAGTAACATGAGAAATTATAAAAAATTAACATAAAGCCAATATTTAAGAGGAAATTAAAAACTCACTTGTATGGTTTCTGAGGCAGAATACTGATTCGAGTCTTGTCAAGTATCTTCTTTAATTTATTTCTTCCTCCAACTGTGTTGGCTTTACTTTTCTTATTTACTTTTTCCAATCCTATTACCTGCTCCACATCGACAGCAAGGTCTGGGATGGAATAACGACTTGCCTTTTTAATGTCACCAATTTTAGGCAGGTGGGGAGCACCATTTCTTTTTTCCTCTGACAACCGTGTTAAAAGCTCTTTAAAAACTGCACAAGACAGGGAAGGGGTGGACAGAAAAAGGACAAAAATGTGAAAGAAAACTTTGTACACCAGACCAGTTCAATATTAAACAGTACAAAAACCTGATTAGGTTATTCTGTCAATTCAAGTAATAAAGGAATTTAGTTATAAGATAAAAAAAAAATATTTAAAAGGACATTCATTTTATGTAGTATGAATCAGAAAAAGAGTAAATTGGCACATCTCAGAACATAAATACACTAGATGACCACACGGTCGCATGGATGGTGTCAACAGAAAGACCTTGACTTTTTGACCTAAGGACACAGGCTTCTGCAGAATAGTAGCACACATAAAAAGAGCATACTAGACAAAAACAAGATAGGAAAACTAAGAACTGAGAAGGAAGGTTTTAAACAGATAGCCAGCAACAAAAGCACTCAGATGGACAAGAAATTATTAGCAACAGGATGAAAAAAATCAGAATTCAGAGGGAAAACTGCAACAAAATCATCAGGAAAATATAACAAAGTGTGAGACTACTGAGACACCTTGGATGTGTGACAGGGCTGTTGTGTCCATCTGCCTGATATACAAAAAAACCTCTCAGACTCCCTCAGCTCCCTAGTAAAGAGACATGTCTAAGGCGAAATACCTAATGAATTTGGGAATTAGTTCTACTGCAACTTTTACCTTCACAATTTTTTTTATATATTTAAATAAATCAAATAAAACTGATCCAAACATTAAGTCACATATTCTGAGTGTGAGAGGAACGTATCCATGTATAAATTGAAAAATCATCTGATGAGTTGATTTGTAATCATAAATGAAACTGATAATTAAACCCAAAGAATTATAGAAAAAGTGGGCACAAGGGCAGCCAACTAAGGATGAGTATTAGGAGCTAGGTTTTACTATTATGTATTAATTTTGTCCTTAACATTCGTCCTTTTCTCCAGAGATACACAAATCACCAAGAGACTTCAAAAGCTTCAAAGAAGAGACACAAAAAAAAAAAAAAAAAAAAAAAAAAAAAAAAAAAAAGCAGAGGAGAGTAATCCAAGCCCATAAGTGCACTGTCAAATAGGAGCTAGGAGCTGGAGAGAGAAATCAGATAGAGGTAAGAAGATGCTGTTAAAAAAAAGAAACACCTCTCCTTTTGGGATTTGTTGATAAGGAATACTGCATGCAATACAAAGAAGGTAACTGAGACTCTACTGTGATGTGACTTCAGTGTTTGCAGTAGAGCAAGAAGATTAAAAACTTAGAAAAACACAACTTCTGAAGAAAATCAGGTTTAATCTTAAACATACTGAAGCAACGCATCAGATCCCAAAACCAGTGTGTAAAGGATGATTACACAGAACTTACACGTAAACAAGCACAAACTGCTAAACAAGCATACACAGATATACTAAGAATTGCCTCAATTATCAGAAACAATTGAAATATTAGAATCTCTAGGTCAAAGCAAAAAAAAATCCCCAGGAAATAGATTTGACAAATTACTTTTGGAGATAACCTGAGCATATGTAATCATTAGTTAGTGCAGTAACATCCTGTGGTAATATTCTACCCTACTTATTTGTGATGAAGAACCTGATCCTGAAAGAGGTACTTGGGGAACACATCACTAAATTATATAAATAATCCAAGTATCCAGTGAAAAAAAAAAAAAAAAAAAAAAAAAAAAATCAAAGAAAACCCACAAGCTATTAATTACTTATGATGCTAACTATGGTCCTGAGCTGCCTAAAGACTCCTTCATGACTGCTTTAGTACTTGTTAGAGGAAGAAATTAAGAGAATAGATTTGGAAGGCAGCGAGATTGTTTTCACCTAGCTGTCAAGAAAGTTTTTATTAACTTTGTTGCGCTCACTGTAGGCACTGACTGAAAAACTATGAGCAAATTCAGCAGACAAATAGGATCACTAATCAACTGAAATTCCAAGAGACACACCTTTCTTGAGAAAGGACCAAACGTTACATGTACAAACATGTCTTATAAATTTGAACTAAATGGCTGCAATAGTTCCTCTTAATCCAGAAACATACACTTGAGAGAGAGAAGTCACTTCATATAAAACCCTATTCATAAATTTTTCTCTGCAATTATCAACTAAGGTATTTTAGGACATGCAAGCTTCCTTTTTCTCTTCTCCCCAGTACAAAAGTGTTTCAAACAAAACTATTTTAAACTATTAAAAAAAATGTTTAGAACACCATCTAAATTAGAACAGAAATTAAAACAAAAAGTACACACAAACTTACCAAATAAATTGGTTTTCACAGTGATAGACAGATGAGTGTTATTTCTAAGGATTTCCATGGCTTTTGACAGCTGAATGTTTTCAAAGTTTTGCCCGTTCACTTCCAGTATCTAAAAATACCAACAGGTAGTATTATTGTTGAAAAGAGAAAAGAGAAAAGAGAAAAGTGAAAAGAGAAAAGAGAAAAGAGAAAAGAGAAAAGAGAAAAGAGAAAAGAGAAAAGAGAAAAGAGAAAAAAGAGAAAAGAGAAAAGAAAAAAGAGAAAAAGAAAGAAAAAAGAGAAAAAGAAAGAAAAAAGAGAAAAAGAAAGAAAAAAGAGAAAAAGAAAGAAAAAAGAGAAAAAGAAAAAGAAAAAAAAAAGAAAAGGAAAAAGAAAAAGAAAAAAAGAAAAAGAAGGGGAAAAAAGGACTTCTTAAAATTACATACCTGGTCTCCACGTTTCAAGCCTGCTTCTGTAGCTTTGCTACCAAAATCTACACTGTCAACAAAGATTCCAAATCCTTTTTCTGACCCTCCCAGCAAGATAAAAGGCAAAGGGGCTTCTCGCGATGGCTTCGTTAAGGTTATCAATCTTCGTTTAGCTTTAGCAGCACAAGCAATATTTAACAGCCTCAAATGTCCACCCATTTTCTACAAGAAAAGCATAATGAGTTATATGTATCAACAGCCTGGCCACTCCCTGCCATCCCAAATTGTCATTAAAAACTCTCACTCTTACCTCCCTCTCCAAATTGTTCTCAAATTCTTCCAGAAATCGAGTCATAGCAGGATCTCCTTCAAAATCATTGAAGTGATTGTTCACCCACAACAATACTACCCGTGTAACCTGAAAATTAATCAATAATATAAATATTTTCCAGGAATACCCAGAACAGCACTAGTCCTAAATCCTTTAAAAATACCGCTCCTTAAATTCCCTGTAAATTTCCATTGGAATCCTAAATATTATACATATACACCCAAATCACACTTTATTAATATGCAATAATTTACCAGGAGGATAGAAAGAATTAAGTAATTGCTTTCACTTATATAAGCATCGCAAAGAATACTATGAGTTAGAAAAGTAACTCTGGCTGTATCAAATTTGATTGAGTAGGGAACAGAGCACACAGGTACAAGGCAACAAGTTAGACCCATTTCTGACTTAAAACAACAATTTCCTGCTCGTGTACATTTCCAAATCTGCATAATTCTTCAAGCACATGATCATAAGGATTCTGATACTGCTTTATATTGCTTCTTGAATCTCATAAATCTTCAGATAAACCACCATTAACTGCATTAGGCATTTACCTGTGTAAAAGAGCTACTGTATGTTTAGAGAGGCAGGAAAAAGGAGCTATTGTGAGAAGCAGGAAAGAGGTTTTAACAGTAAATACTTGCAATTCTTTTTCTCAGAGTCAACCTTTCAGTTTACTACTCCTCTTTTCTCTCCACCCTTACCCAGCTCAAGCAACATATGACTATCAAAGTTCAGAAGGATCTTACAGTTTCTTAGGAAAAAACCCTAAAGAAATACTATCAATTAATATTATTGAAGGTAAAGCCACAAAGAGGTATATTTTTTAAAATTATATGCTTCCACTAAAAAATTTTATCTTACTATGCGATTTGGTCTAGAACATCAGCAGCACTCGTCCTAACAAAACAGTTTTGATGTTTTGAATTAATATTGATTCACACTATTTTTAAAAAGTTTCTGAATCCAAAATAGTTGTGCCACTCAAAGTTATCTCTAAAAATACAGCCGCATTTCTTCTGTTATGCTGCGAATGTAAGTTAGCAAGGGAAAATCTCTGAATATTTCAAAAACTAGAACTTAGGAAGAAAATCTCTTACAAATTTTAATCAGCTAAAGCTAACCCTGTCCTTTGCATCTGCACAAAATCTAAACCTCTGCAGCCTCTTACACTAAAGGTCTGACACCAGCCATCCAAAACCAAACCCTGCCACCCTTATATACAGTTTCCAAGTAGTTTGCCTTCTAACACAGAAGAGCAAGCGAATTCAGAAGAATTGCTGATATTAATGACCAAACTAAACAAGTACTTCAAAACTCCTCCAGAGTTCAGATTTCTAACAGGAGGCAACGGAACAGCAGTATGTGCTGCAGATCCCAGCCACAGTGAAAGCATTTCTGACATATTTGAGATTGTTCCACCTTTGACATTGAAGATGAACTTCCTTTCTGTTAAACATCTGTGGTGTTTTTCATTAACGTGGATGACATTGGAAGATCCAGACAATGACTAGTTAAATTTAGACTAATTGCAGATTTTTAAAATTGGCTGAGAAATTGCAAGCCATAACACATAATATATTTTTCAGTCACTGCAGTGATAGCTTCAATATCAATGTTGCTTTCAAATTTGGGACTTAATGTATGCCCAAACGACACTGCACTGGGAAGGGTTGAATGGTGACTTCCAGAGGAATGCCATTACTTGTGTCATAATCAGGAACAACATTACAAAGTGGTAAAAGCTGTAAAGTCAAGTATCCTGCTGTTGGGTAAAATCATCAGTAAGGTTGGATCTCACATGTCCCAGTCTGATTGCTACTGAGTACTGATCATCATCACAAAGTTTTATGCACCCCTTTCCTTTGACTCCCTGACTATCAGCCCCAAATACAAACCAGCCAACATCTTCCAGATTCATTGTTCCCCACTTGCATATATCCCTTTGTCACAATCTGTTCTCTGACTCCTGCCTTTCTGTCAGTGCTACTGGATGTCAGAAAGGGTTGGTTATTGAGACAGCAGAACAAAGACCTCTGTTTTCAGACCTGATACTGGCAACTGTGCTGGTTCATGCTTTTAACAAGGGCTGAGGGGATTATCCACTGGAGGACAAGAAAAATAAGTTCAAAGATGAACTCCAGTATTATAGCTCTGAAGCTGTGACAAGCACATGCTAAACAATATTAGCTGCTAAGCCTGTCCTCTCTGGCAAATCTAAGATCCTTTCTCCAAGGCACAGATATACTACCATTTCCAGAAGAAATATCCAGATCTAAATAGAAGTTGAAAACCAAATTTCTCTTTAAACTTATTGATAATGATTCCCTGTGTTTCAAATTAGCAAAAAAACATCTGAAAAATTGTATTAGTTTTTTTACATATGAGAAAGTTGTATGTAAGTGAAAATAAAGTGTTACAGTGTGAAGCACAGTATAGCCTCAATAGACAGTGTGCCAAAACTGCATATACAGGGCCGTATTCTTCCATCATGGCACTTTTTAGGGAAGAGGATGTTTGATTGCTTTCTTCTGTTTGGGTTGTGGGTTTTTTTAATACTGTGTAAGCCTCAACAGATTCCTAACAATGGCTATACTTTCTAGTCTCTTCATATAAAAATAAAGTATCAAAAAATATTTACCAAGTTGTGTTAACTAGTATTATGCATGGAATACACAGAACTTAGTTATATGCTCAAATTTTGAGACACAATTCTATTGAATTATAATAACTAAAAATACTGATTATTAGAAAAGCAGCTTTCCCTATACTTGTAAGCAACTAAGTTATGTTGTGAAAACACAGCAAGGTAAAACATGCCTAATTTACCTTGCCTAAACACAATAATACTTAAATAAAATACAATAAAATAAGGACAAATATTTTCTTAGTTTTATCCATATATTCTACCATTAAAATATGTTACTAGTTATCTGTGTCTTAGTTTAGTAATTCTCTCTAAAACATATTTTTTTCTTAATAGCTTATATTTAAATGTAAATGTTAACAGATATGTAATTTGTGGAATTTAACCTTATCCCTGAGGCTGGGGTCATTGAACCACTCCAACAACTTCTTGCCCACTTCCATTGGGCTAGAAAGAAAGGTCCGATACGTCAACAGGAAGTCTTCTATAAATGTTGGGTCTACCACAGAGTGCTCTTCCACCAAATGCATTGTTAACCTTTCAGCTGTTCCCTATTAAAAAAAAAAAAAAAATCTTAGTTACTAAAACAGATTTTCAATAAATGTAAATTTGTTTTCTTGTAACGTACTGAAGGTACATTACACCAGAAAGAATATTGGCATATATTGACTGATGATCTAAGTAAACATAACAGCTTAATCACTGTGAGAAGAAATTTTTTAAAATTATGTCATTAATTTCTATAGAAATCACTTAGTTATCGATGTGCATAATTATAAAGAGAAAACCTAGAAGTATTAACTGTTTATTTGCAAATATATATTTTTAGAATTGTGCTGGGTTTGTGTGGTGTGGATTTTGGTAGTGGGGGAGGGGACTACAGCAATGGCCCCTTCTTGAAAGCTCCCCTGAGCCAATCAGCAATGGTGGCCATGCCTCTGCAATAACATATTTAAAAAGGGCAACCTGAGACGAGGGAGGGATTTTGTGAGGACAAGTTACAGGAAGGATACCTATGTGAACACCAAGGTCAGTGGCAGGAAGGAGGAGGAAGGAGGGGAGGCGGGCTGGAGCAGGGAGCCCCTCTGTATCCTGTGGTGAGATGGCAGGGACAGCCCAGCCCACCCCACTATGGAGGTCACCGGAGGAGCAGAGACCCACCTGCAACCTGTGGAGGACACCCAAGGACCCTATGGGAAGAAGTCGTTCCCGCTGTTGTAGTTTGGCGCTGGTAGGACTGCGACACGTGGAGGTGACCCATACCAGAGCATTTTGAGAGGAATGCATCCCATGGGGAGGACTCATGGAGGAGAGAGTTTGTGGAGGACTGTCTCCCGTGAGAGGAATACCACATGGAACAGGGGGAAGAATGCAGAAGAGTGTTTCCCCCCACCCTTGGAGGAAGAAGCAGGGGACTAATTGCATCCCCATCCCCTGCCCCTGGGGGAGGAGGTAGAAATATCAGGAACAAAACTGAGCCTGGGAAGAAGGGAGGGGTGGGGAGTGGTGCTTTTAAGATAGGTAACACTTCTCATTGTCCCATTCTGTCTGTTAAATGTTGGTTTTGTCAGTGTTTGAATTAAAATGGTGTTCTTGTTTTCTTCCCCTAACGAGCCTGTTTTTTGCCTGTGACCATTAAATGGGTGAGAAACCCCTCCCTGTTCTTATCTCCATTGCTGAGCCTTTTGATTCATTTTTCTCCTTCCAGTGAAGGACCACACAGTGATCAGTTGCCCTCTGGACTCAAACTACAACAATAATATACATCTCAACTAATCCTAGATTTAACTTATCAAGTTAAGAAATCCACAGAACACAGACTTTTGTAAGACACTCCCTCTTTTACTTTTACCTTGATGACAATGTGACCTTTTCTTGTTCCAGTGCGATCAAGTTCCCTGTGCTCCTTCACCATCACAATCTCCCCTTCCTCTTCTACCTTCTGCATGTTCTTTTCCACTTGATTGAGGATGCGGCAATAATCTTGCTGAGCTATACAAACAAACTGGAAAGAATCATCGCGCACCAGTATTAAAAAGTAAAATCTTCAGAAAAGCATTGAAACTTAAGATACAAGTACTCTATTAATAGAAAAGATAAAAATAGTTTCTCAACCTGCAGTGAGCCAAATTTGTCATTCCAGCAGTTCAGCTGTAGTAAGCAGATGAATACACAAGTACAGTACTTCCACTACAATCTGGCAGTTAGAGGAGACCAAAATTCATCAGAGCAAAATGATTAAGCATTATCAGCCATTTTTGTTTAGCTGCTTTGACCTTCCCTCTGCTGGAGATGAAGCTCAGTATCCTAGCTGTTACATTTTCTCCCACGCAAGCTTTTGTGTGGTATTGAGAAGGGTTAAGAGACTGAAGGGAAAACGTAGCTTTTACATTTTGTGCCTATTGCTATTGTAAATAATTTCCATTTTTCATAGTTTATTAATAAAGTCAGTCATTTAAAAAACTAACATTTATTCCATTACATGAGTGCAGGGCATACAGAAACAAATTACTTCTGGATTAAAGCATATAGCAGGAAAAATATTTTCTACAATCCCCTGCTCAGCTAAGAATAAGTACAAGAATAAATATCTTAAGAATATTCCTAGCACCTACACTATGCAAATATAATTAAGACCACCCACTGCAACTTAGAAAAAAATACCGTACACACCATGAATTGCCTTCTATAACTTGTTAAAAGTTTTATACCTTTGTCTCTTTTTTGGGACAAGATTAAACTGTCCTCTTATATGAACCTGAGTATTTAGCTGAAAGGAATTAATAAGTGTTTCTTCTGATTGAAAAGTTGTTAAATCATCACGTATGTAACTTAGGACAAAGGCATGAGAGATTCACAGAGATAGTATTTTTCTCCTGCATTCTTCACAATTCATTTACATACCTCTTCTATTTCCAGCAGCTAGTAGCAGCTGAAACACAAGTCCCACACTCTGGATTTGCAAAAACATTATCCTAACAAGATACCATTTAAGCACGTTTGGAAAGCTAGATGGGCAAACTAAACCAGGTGACTACATTAGCAGACATTTACACCTATTCCAAAGGGCATCTACTGGCAGCTAATTAGCCATCAGGACCAAGCAAAATACTTAATTCACCCAGGGATTGGCTATTATTTTCTGGATAGGAATAAGAATAGCAGCCACATATTCAGATCAGGCTAGTATTTTTATGCTATGAGAAACATTCATTGCATCCAACTGCTTGTGTTACAGCAAACATCAAGGCATTTTCCTTGAAAGACCAGATTAGCTGAAACGACGAGATTTTCCACTCAAATCATGGGAGAAAGAGCTTGTATTACTTTAAGATTCAGTAGCTGAGCTGAGTAAGGAAGAATGGCTATTACCTGTAGAAGTAAAAGAGCCTGTAATGTTCCTGCTAAGGGAAAGTTTGAAGCGATGGATGTATGCAACAGGCTGCTGGGCCTCAAATTCTAGAGAAAGCATGTAGACAAACCTCTTTATCCAAAATGATCCCTATCTGGGTGAAAATAATTAAATTTTCCAGGCTGTGGGTAGGCAGGAGCCATATTTCCCAACTATTGTACAGGGTTACATACTGAAGATTTTACATATATTCAGTTTAATATAAAACTGTGTCTGGCTACTGAATTGCATTACACACACATATATATGTGTGTGTGTGTGTGTGTTTGTGTTGCATGTATTACAGTCTGACACTCTACCTGGCAGTCATCCACTTTGGTTCTCATTACTCCTTTCATATATTCCTTTTCCATGGTAGGGGAAACACCAAAACTGTTCCCCATGCAGAGTATCTCTGTTCTTCCATCAGGGTACGTCACCTCCACAGAGCCATTCAAAATGACTGACCAGGAATCCAGCTACAAATCAAATGTTGCAGGATACATGAAAACTGAATCACTTAACATTGTCATATCATGCTATTTAGATACAACCCTCATGATTTTTCTGAAGGAAAAGTTATTTTTTAACACCTAATTAAAAACATCTATAAGTAGTTTACCTTAAATGTGCAGCTATTTCCAGCTCAAAAAAAAAACTGGGATCTGAAGTTTAGTTTTAATGTTAAAAGAGTTTATATAAGACTAAAAAAATATTTTTAAAAAGGAAGGCAGGTTAAACACTGAAATAAACTCCCAAAATCAACTCTAACAGATAGAAAGCATTTTGTACATTATGAAGAGCATTTTCTTATGCTTTTATTGCATAAGAAAAGTTGTGTGAGTGCTTAAACAAAAGCTTTCAAACTAATCCAGGAAAGAAAGAAAAAAAAAAAAAAGGCTTAATTTACCTGCTCAATATTACTTTTTTAAGCGACAAAAGAGGACCTTAACCCTGTGGAATCTGGGATGTTTGGTATAATAGTGTAATAAACTATGGTAACTAATTTGCTAAATTAAGCAAGGCGGGTGCTGTAAGAAACTACTGTAACTGATTTTTTAGGCTGGGCAAGGCGGGTAGGTACACTTGAATGATCTGTAAACGTTAAACAATTAAATGTAAAGTGGGCCATTCAGATTGGAACAATGTAACCGTGTCTCAGAAACCCCACCTGCACGCGGTTGGAACAATGTAACCGCCGCGTCTCAGAAACCCCACCTACAGCTGATATATAACTGCTGTTTGAAGAGAAGCCGCCGAAAGGATGAGATCATGAGGCTTTTAAAAGATCCAATAGGAGAAAAGCGCGCCAGGAGACCAAGGCTTCGAGACTTTCAAAAGACCCAATAGGAGGAGGACACGCACCCCAGCATCTCAAATGACCAATGGAAAAGAGCAGGACAACTCTGACGGGAGGAGATTGGTTAAAGACGAGGGCACAAGAGTATAAAAACCGCTGCTTTTTGGAACTCGGGGTGCGTGTGGCAGAGCTGCGGCTCTCCATGCACCCAGCGCTGCTTTGCCTATTGCTCCCCACCCTAAATTGATTGAACCCAAATAAAAATATATATTTTTATAAAAATTGGCTTTGTCTGATTATAACAATAGGAAAGTCAAAAGAGCAACTTTTACTGACCTCTTCACCATCATTTAGTACAATAGTTCCTGCTCTCTCCACAACTGCAAACACCATTACAGCACAGAGCTCCCTCCTCACTGACATTGTCATGTTGGCAAAAGCAGGCAACTGATGCATGAATTCCAGTAGTTGTTCTGAAGGAGAAAAAGCCCACTGAGTCGTACATGTCAAAACAACGAACCACAGTAAAGACACTTCTTCAGCAAGATGCCCAAGGCTACTTAAGCTAAAATGCTGCACAATCATTTCTGTATACTAATAAATCATGTACAGTGGCCTGTTGTAATTACTGGGTATTTTGTAGACAAAGACTGGCTGGTCATATCATCAATAGAAGCCCTGCAAAGTAAAAGTCAGCATAATGGAAGAATTGTAATGTAACCGAGAGCTCTGAATACAACCAATGATATTTGTAATACTCCAGCCAGGGCAGTAACTCCCTTAAGACTAAGATAGGCCTATATAAAACACAGCAAGACATTGACAAGGAAAATTTCACAAAACTGAGCAAGTTCATTGGTAAAGCCATTCTTAGGCTAGACTTAACAGTAAATTATATTTGATCATCATTTGGCGGATTCACAAAGTTCACCTTGGATGGACCAGACAGGATTACTGTCTTAAAGGTGACCACAGCTGCTCTGTCTTCTGTGTACACTGGGGTTGCACTTGTACTCAACAGTGAACTTCTCCTGTATCTTTGCTTTTTACATCGTTCGTAACTACAGAACTTAATTTTTCTTGGAAATCCTGCTGAAGGACTATATATCCTAAATGCTAGACAGTTTTGCATTTTTTGATTTTAAAAAAAAAAAAAATCTACCAAAAGTAGTTCAATAGAACCCCATCTTTTCCCTAAATGTTTATTTACTCAGAATCACTGAATAGTTGAGGTTGGAAGGGACCTCTGGAGGTCATCTGGTCAAACCTGCCTGCTCAAGCAGGGCAACCTACAGCCAAAAGCAGTGTCCTGGCTTTTTAATATCTCCAAGAAGCGAGATCTCTCTGGACAACCTGTGCAGCACTCAGTCATTGTAAAAAAAAAAAAAAAAGTATTTCCTCATGTTCAGAGTCTCCTGTGTTTCAGTTTGTGCCTGTTGCCTCTGGTCCTCTCACTGAGCACCACTGAGAAGAGCCTATGTCTGTCTTGTTTACACTCTTGCTCCAGGTATTTGGACACATTGATGAGATCCTCCTGAGTGTTCTCTTCTCCAGGCTGAACAGTTGCAGCTATCTTAGACCTTCCTCATACAAAAGATGCTTCAGTCCCTTAATCATCTGATAATCAACCTTAATCATCATTTGATAATAGAAAAGGATTACAACTGAGCCAGTGAAACAGATTAGATTAGGAACTGTAAGAATTTGAATTCTGGTTCTGCTTTGCTTTCAATATATTAACCTGTATGATAACAGCAAATTAGTTTGATTAGATGCACATTTACATAAAGGTCTTAATAGCTCCCATGTTTAACACAAATGTATACATTTGGTTAAAAACAGACACAACACCACAATTTACAATTAAAATAATTAATGTGATAAGCATCCAGTGTTGACATTAACGTTGACTTTGCTAAGGTTCTAACTGTTTTCCAGTATGCAGTGATGTTTACTTCATAAACCAGTTTTGTTATCAATTAGAAGTTGAATCTTGAGATCAGAAGGGCCAACAACGAATAGTTTTCATCTATATTATGTGTGTTTTCCTCTTCTTCTTTGGCCATAGTCAGTCACTGGCTGAATTTATGGCATTTATGAATCACCTTACAGAATAAACACTAAAGTTACCAACTACAACAATCAATGATAAAAATAAAACCTCAAGTTCAAAAAGTAATTTGTTTTGGTGAAGAAGAACAAGTTTGACAGTATTTTACTACACTGCTATACTTACCAATGTCATCATCTGTCCTGTCTATTGGGTCTTTCTCCAAGCAGTCTCTAACAATATCCCTACTCATCAAAGGATCTGACGCCCTTTCAATGTCTTCTTCATCATCATCATCCTCAGAATCCACTGCTGTCTCCGGCAACCCACTGAGATCCATATCACCAGCCTCACTTTCTGTAGCCTAAATTAATATATAAGCAATTAAAAGAAACAAATATATTAGAATGTGTTCTTCACTGCTACAGTTTTCTAGTTAGATGTACAGAAATTAATTCTGTCACCTAACAGATCACACAAATTCACCTGATTTTTTTATATTGCTTTTTTCTTTACATATCTTTTTAAACCAATGAACAATCAATCCAAAACCATTGTTTAAACAGGGCTTTTAACACTTGTTTCAATCATCCACACATAAACAGGATTTAACAGAATTATTTAATCAGTAGGTCTTGGGGGAATTGAAGGCAGTTATATTTCAAAGAACAATTTCTTGGAATATTCACTAAATTTAATTATTTCAAATGAATAGTTCATTTAAAACAGTTTCTGTTCCTGCCCCAACTTTACATTTTCGGACACTTAGGAAAGTAATGTAATTTTAAGTAGACAGTTTTGGGAAATATGCACAGCATCAAAATGCTATAGGAACTTTGCTATCTCCCATTAATCTAGGACTATACTTTTATTTTACAATCCCAGCTGAATGTAGTTAAATATGGCTTTCATTTGCTGATAAGCTATATAAGAATTTACAGATGGAGAAAAAAATGCAAAGTCACTGCTTAAACACCACAGATAGACTACACAGAATATCTGCCAAAGTTAACCTCCTTTAAATTGCATTAAAATTAAGGAAAACATAGCCCATATATAGCCTGAGGTCATCAGTGTATTTTCCTTTAGGTGCTACATTTTAATGATTCAGTTTTAAGACTAAACACTTCATAAATCTCACAGTTGTCTGTCACAGCAGATAAAGCTGCTTTTTCTCAGAACTGATTTAATACCACAACAGCTGCCAAAGCTCAGCTATGACAATTTTTAAGGAAATACAAGCTTCTAATCAGCAAGTTTTAAGCCATGGCTTGAGAAATCAAGTTTCATATGCCATATAGGGATGGTTTGTTTCTGAGACTCTGGAAGCACACAATGCATTCACGTCTACTCTAAAAACACTACATGGATAAACACAGCTACTAAAGCCTGTTTTATCGATCTGTCTCTCACACTGGTAATAAAAAAAAAAACAAAAAACACCACACCCAAAAGTAGGTCACCCTCCAAACACAGAGAAGGTAAAACAAATTACATCGGTATTTTCGTAGAATCATCTTCCCTATTCCTGCCTCACTAGCTGTGGTTGACATCTGTTACTTTAATGCCATTATACACAACCACCTTGTGAATGGTAGCATATGGCTAGAGACCGAACAGGGCAGCTAGTGTCATACTTAAATGCTTCTGTCCTACAGAACACCACAAGCATTGTAACAGGGTCTTGTTAATATAAAAAAGCATAACAGCACCTACACAATATTCAAATCATTCTCACTTTGTGGTTGTTTTTTTTTGTTTTTTGTTTCTTGGTTGTTTTGTTGTTTTTTTTTTTAAAAAAGAAGATGCTGAGCATTTCTTAAGCAGCATAAAGGAGGATGTTATAAAGGCATAGAAACAAATCACAAAAACAATAGCACTGATAGCAGTATTTTCATTAGTAACCTTACTGTGCGTAACATGAATGTTCTCTATGATATATTTGAAGCAGTTGCTCTAACTACTCTTACAAAATAGCCTTCATAAAATACAACTGGTGGAAAAATTAGTGATGATGAGTCAGTAGACACACAGTTTATGACACCAATCTGTCAGAATCAGAAGTCTCCAACAGTGACAATCCAGTGACAGTGGGACTAATTGACAAGTCAATTTTGCAAACCTTCCTATTACTAACAAGCACCCCTCCCCTACATGCCCAAAATAAGCTCTCTCAGAAGCATGTTGGCAAGATGAATGCAGAACTAAATTTAGTCACACGATGCTAACATACAGGAGAAAATTAGACACATTGTACAAAGCTGAATGTTAAAAGACAAGTTATTTGACTGTCTTAAAACCAAAATCAAACAGAAGTAGAAGCTCTATTATCAAGAAAAGCTGATGCTGTTTTAAAAAATTCTCACACACATTAAATGCAATTATGTATTCAAAAAATACTTTAAAATTTTAACAGAAGATTACAAGTATTTGCTGAATATTATCACTTCTTACAGAGATAAAGAAATATTTTTGACAACTAAAGTTACTGGTAGAAATCTGAATGCTAAAGCAACTCTTTCCAACTTACTAGCTATCCAAAAATATAAACCACCAATAAAGCAGCTCAGAATTCATGCAACAATCCACAGAGTAACAAGAAAATTTATTCAATTAACCTTTAAAAATTAATCTTATCTTTTGAGTGGGAAAAAAAAAAACCCTTTTAAAATGTAATTTCCTGAAAAATATATGTTTATGAAAAAGTTAAAGGAACACAAACATAGCCCTTCCACACAGGCAATATGCATTCACAGTAGTAAAGAATCAAAAAACTCATCCCCTAAGGACTTCTTCTCAGTTTACAAGTTTTGCATGTGTTTTGTTACATTATTAAGAATAATTGGATCTGTCTTCATGTTAAAAGCATGCACCAATTTATCTACAAAACATTGCAAATATCTTCTTTAGGGTCAGTAGCATCATGTATGGCATTAAATACTCAGGGTCCTGTGGCTGACATATTAAACTTCATAACCCACCTACTTAGAGTATTTTTGTAGCCCCTCATGTGTTAGAAAAATCGAGCACGTCTGCACTGGAACCCTTAGTTATGAAGCAATAGCCATGCATTTGAGTAAGACTAAAGGAAAAATCTTGATTAGCTCCCTTGAGGACAGAAGCTTCCTTATAAACCTCAGCAGTAGAAAATCCAGAACACAAGATGAATACCCAACAGAATTTGTACTACAGTTAGTCATAAGGCTTAGAGCTTCCCAAGGCATTTAATCAAGAATGAAGTACACCTTGGAAATCTGTGCTTTCATAGATGTATGTTGTCTTTTATTTCTTGGGTAACAAGAGAAATTAGCTTCATTTAAATAAATCTGAAGAGATTGCATGTAAGAAAAATGCTGGTTGCAGCTAAAAGTACAAGACAATGTCTCTCCAAAGTCTGAATACCAATTACAATTAAAATTTTCTTCACAGTTGGAAAGATGGCACGAAAAATTTGCTGGAGCTTCAAAGGATTCACATAACGTCAGCCTAATACTTTGTTTGTCCCATCACCAACAAGAAATGCAAGAGACTTAATAGACACATTTTTAAGCCTGAGGTGAAGAGTTATTTCACAACTGGTATCTAAGAAGACGTCCATTTTTAAGCAGTGGCTATTAAGGCTAATGTTGTAATAGTACAAAAATGGTTGTTCCAACTGCTAAGGAGCTCCAAGACCAAAGTCACTTCTAAGTTTGAGTAATAACAGCTAACTAAACAAATACTGTGAAATAACTAGGAAAAGATGGAAAGTAAAGGAGCCTTGCATAAGTTTTCAAGTTTTCTCAGTTAGCTTTTGGATCCTTGACTTATTGTAGGAGGGAAGGAAAAAACAAAAAAAAAAACACACACCCCCCCCCCCCCCCCAAAAAAAAAAAAAAAACAAAACCAAAACAACCAACCAACCACCAAAAAAAACAACCCACCAAAACCCTCCCCCCCAAAAAAAAACCCTAACCCCAGAAAAATCATTCATTCCTCTTGGGTTAAACTGGGCAGACAGGGGGAAACAGAAGGCCCTGTTGGTCCCTTTAGATTGGTATGAAAAGAAACTGTTTAAGCCCAACTCTACTCGTCTTTCATTATTTGGAGGCGTTGTGAACATAGATATAATGAGAGGTCATGGACTACCTGAAAAGCTAAAGAAGATTATCTTCTTTACTGCCTCATTTCCTTTTCCATCCAATTTTGGGGTATCTGATAAGAAAAACATCAGAACTGTCCAAGGGGGATTTTTGCTTATCCAATAGATCTGTATCTTTACAATCAAGTAACTCTCCCATACTATAAATGTTTCATCACATACGCCTGCACACACATACCATCCTTACTATGGGAATGAAAGTGAGAAGACTTGGAGAACTGCTTACAAGATGACTGGCTCTGTTTTAGTTGGTCTTCACAGTTTTTGTTTCTACACTGGTTTGAGGAAAAAGCTTCCAGCTGATCTTAATATAAAGAGAAAAAACCTACAAAACTCTTAAAATTAGCCATATTAACTACTGATTTCTTAGTATTTTAAACAGAATATTTTAGCCTAGATAGACTTTTTTGAATTTTCATTTTAATCACGTTCTTTAGGAAACATTAAGGAAAATATACATCATTTTGAATAATCCCCTCTGCAACTAATGTCACCACCTGAATCAACAATCCAAAATCTCCAAATATGCAAGAGAAAAATACTGGGAAAAAAAATTTAAAAGCATTCAAGACAGTTGTGCAAACCAGAAACATGTTCATTGTCTGGTGCAGTCCTTCAAGTCCATGAAACCAACAAAGAAAGCAGCCAAGCTGAGCACAAAAAACCCACCCCCACCTTAATTTTTGATCTTGTAGTTGAAGGTGTAAAAATGAAACTGAAAAATTAAATTAAGAATGTTCATTAGTGAAAACATTCATTTTCTGTGTCATAATTTAAGCGCCAAGGCTGACAGAAAACACAAAGAACACTGGTACTGCAACTCTCATGAAATCACTTGCAAAATTTTCATTAGCTTGGAAGATTTTCTCCTGTCATTATACAGGCACATTGGATCCAGCTTTTCCACAGAAAGAAAATAAGTCAGGGGTTTTGTTTTACATTAGGTTTCAACTCACTAAGCAGAAGTTTACGATATAAATAAATTGCTATGAATTTCAATCAATTTGTTTATTTAAGAAATGTCATACATATAACGATCAATTATAACTATTACATGCCCCAAAATCATACATAAATCTAAGGTAGTAAAATTATATTTTCATACTCTACTAAAATCAGTGCCATGAAATACCTTAAAACTCCTGCAGTCTAAGATTTTCACTGCTCTCCCTCTTCATATTTATTCTTTCATTATCTACTACAAAATTTACAGCACGGCAGCTCGCATCTGTCACAGAAGTCAGTCTGAGCACTATTCCTCCCTAGAGATAGAAAAATGTAATAATCCAGACAACGCACACCAGGAACGGTGTCCTCCCCTACCGCCAACTAATTGCCACTTTCTCAAAATGGAGCAACGCTTGCTGAGACCACAGGCGCACAGAGCAAGGACTCTGAAAGTTACTCCTAGGCTATAAAACTGCGGAACAGATTAGAGGACCTGAACTCACCAGGAGTGCTAAGGTATTGCACAGGACGCTGCCAAAGCTGCGGCAGGGCGTTCAGGAGGGCCTAGTTTAGCTGCCCGTTTCAGACGTCCTTGTACTATCCCAGAGCCTCGCACTGCAGAGGCTAATGTAGTCAGAAAGACCGACTTAATCTTAAGGTAAAACCTCACTATTTTGCATACAACAACACAAGGGCGGGCTGCACGGACTCTGGTTTGAGAGATAAAGATTTGGGCTCTCTCAGAAACGCTTTCTGGAAGGTGGACCTTGCTTCTACAAGTTACTGTATCAGACTTGTGAGAAAACAAATTTGACATCTTGAAAATTTCCAAGCAATACACACATCCTGGGAGGGTCTCGGAAAGGATGTTCCCGGTTTCCTGTACCGCCAAGAGTATCTGGGCAGACACGAGAGGGCACGTAGGGCTGGCAGGAAGCCACGGGACTGAGGACAGGATAAGGCAAAGAAAGGCTGGCAAAGGAAAGAGCTGAGCCAACACACCAACACCTTCCCAGAACAGGGAGGGGGAATAACACACGCTCATGGGCTTAAATCTCCTTGCTCTCAAACTGGGATCATCAGGTAATATACATGACAGGTATAGGAAGCATTTAGGAGCATAGAGGGACGGGTATATGCTTCCATATAGGATGCTTTAACTAAGCATGAGAAGCAAGGGCGAGCAGCTGAACATGAGAAGCAACAGTGAATGATTTGCTTTGCCAAGTCAATACAAGACAGAAGCATTGTTCTTGGCAAATACAAGCCAGCACACAATCTATTAAAGTTCAGCATCCCCTTCCTCTCCAGTCACACTATGGAGTTAGTCACTTTATGAACTTATTTCCTAAAATAAAAGTAGCAACATTTAAGGACCTTACTAATTGATACCTGAAAAATTTTTGAGACTTGGGTGGAGTAAACACAAAGTATTATTTATTTCATTTTGGTAAGTATTTCTTATCCTAAAAGAAGTTCTTTCATGTACAACATTTGACAAATTTAGTTACAGCATTAATATTTAAAAGGAAATATTCTCAGCTCAATGCTGAAAGCATCTGAAGATTCAGCTTCATGATTTATTCAATAAAATCTTAAGAGGCCATGGACATATTTTCATTGCAAACAGCTGCTCTTAAGGCTACAAAACTAAAAGTTACTAGTATGCAAAACATGATATATCATTACCTCAGTTTTCAACAGTAAAGATCTAATTAATAGTAGAATTTTAAAAAGAAAGCATTTATTTATCAATTGCAAGATAAGATGGCAATCTTTCTAAATCATTGTTTTCTACTTAGCTATAATGAACAGAAGTCCACACTACTGAACAGAAACATGCCATTATATACAGAACATAAGAACCAGAGGAACAGTACTGAGATTTGCCTAAGACTTATTAAATTTGAATTAAAAAATAACATGTATATGACGTGGTTATGGTTTACTGTTCTTGAATAAACACCTAGGAGAGAATTAAAAGGCAAACAATTGAGAGAGAATGACTGATTCAATCTCTTAGTTTTAAAAACTATTTCTGTTTATATGACTTGACCCTGCATAAATCAACTTACAGCAATTTTATTTTGTTGTGGGGCTTTTTTGGCAGTACTTTAACCTAAATTAACATTGCCATATAACATTCCTTTATGACTGAAAGTGAGGTCAGAAGTTAATGATTTACTACAATATGGCAAATCATTAAGTCAAACAATACTCAGAACCATTAAGTTAAATTCAAGAATTTAAGTATCTTAACAGTTTCCACATCTGAACTTGTCAACTAATTTTCTTAATGTTTCAAATATGTGTATTAGCACAAAAACATGGGGTTACATTCCACAATACACACACATATTTCTCAGTGTTGTTAAAATAACCAATGTCCATATCAATTACTCTGATATTGTAAAATTACACAGTTCTCAATACATCTGTACCAATAAATTTTTAAATGAGGTATTAATTACAGATTAATTGAGGAAACCAGATAATATTTAAGATCACCAAGAATGGATTTTTTTAAAAATTAGATTTAAACTAATATTTTAAAAGTAAATGTTCTCCATGTACACACTTCAGAAAACTCCAAACGCCAACCATTCTGTTAATTCCATAATTGCAGACAAAACTTATCATAGGAGTCATGCACCCAGTTGGTGACTACATAAAGAAGTATTTCTCTTAAGTTTCTGCACAGTTGTGGGTGTTTTTTTTTGTTTGTTTGTGTTTTTTTGTTTGTTTGGGTTTTTTTTTTAATTTCCCAGAAATTCAGTGATCTTTTTCACAGTTATGAAAGTTTTGTTGAAAATCTTTGCAAAATTTTACTTCCAACTTATCTAAGAGAGTAACTGTATGACTATAACCACATGCCACCTACAACCCTGTCTCTAGAGGTGCTTGTTATTTTTACGTTAAAGTGAAAATCTTTGGAGTGAAAGGTATGAAAATCTATAGAAGACTTGAACAAAGCTGATTTTACATCTTCTTCACCCTCAGTCTAAATGCTGTCTCAAAGTAATCCTGTCTTCAGAAGAAATTCTGACAAATATACTTGACTGGCATATGTTATGCCTAAAGTGTTCAGTTACTTTGACATTTTTCACAGAAGTAAACCTTTGCATTATTGCAATTAGTCTCTAAATTGAACTGAGACCTTTTTATAGTTTCTCCCACAGAAAAGCCTACAAGCTTACTCCCCTGAAGGAGACTACATGCTACAGTTATGCTCACAATTGAATTTGTATGTATTTGTACACACGATGCTTTTCCCATTGTTTAAATGGCTACATTTGCATTTTTGGAAGCATCCCAAACAAACATTATTCCTCCTCTAATAAACTACTTCATGTAGAATTGATCTCATTATTATTTTTTTTTTATAATTTTGATAGAACAACATTTTAATTAGATTTGATTCCTTTTTTTCTGAATAACAAATTGCTATACTTCCCTATCAGGACAAATCCTCCTCTGACACTGGAAGAACTGTAAACATCCAGTGAAGGATGTAGACTTCCTCATTTTATTTTATTTCAGATTTTTTCTGAATTCCTAGAGGAATCACACATACCCCCAAGTGCTCTAGGGACCCTCTAGATCAGATTCACAGCAAGTCTTTCCAAATTCAAGCTGCTCCAAACCAAGAGCACAGAGCTTTACAACAAGAAGCCCCCTCAGAAGTTTAACAATTTAAGTGCGTCACCACTTCAACATCCTCACCTTTACCAGGACAGCCAGGAGAGAAAGCACTACCAAAAGGCTAGCAGGGTGAAGAAATTAGAATATGACCCTCAAGTCAAAGCCAGCACTGGCTGTTCACTGCATATTTCTTTCTCCCTGTCACTGAATATGTTCTAGATTTTTAAGCCAACACATCTAAGCACTATGAAATACAGCAGCAAGAATAAATATCTCTCACACTGCAAGGTACTAAATCTATAGTTTTGAAATGTCGATCTGTAACTATCACAGCAGCTGTTACACATCTGGCAAATCAGACAGAAAGACAAGGTGAAGTGTTGGAGTCAGGAACAGCGCCCCTTTATATTCTAGGTCCCACAATGGCCACCTGATGGAGAGGCTACACTAGCTTTCTATGCTGAAGTTCAAGAAGATTTCATCCCCTCAAAAATCAAAAATTCATAAAGTACAATCCTGAAATGTTGTGAAACACTACATCTCTACACTGCTGACTCTAATCCTGACCAACTACTGCAACACACATCATATCACTGTGTTGCAGATTACTTGCTGAGTTTTCAAACATCTAGCACATAGAGCATAAACCCCTGAAATAAGTGCAGTTCAAATAAAAGTTAGTTTTTTGAAGCCTATTAAGTGCTTCTGCAGACAAAAACTAACAATACACAATAGCATGGGTGTCAAGCCATTAACGTCAAAACTGTTGGCAGTTGCACCTCCCATCAGCATCCATTCCGGTCTTACCTGGTAGATATCAGAAAGGCTGCTGCTTCCTGAATCACTAGTGATGCTACATCCTGAGTGACTAGATGAAACGTGGGTCACCTGTGGGTGGAGACTGTCAGTAAGGTGCAGCTTTGTGAAATCTGCAGGAAGCTATAGGTGGAGCAGAAAAAGCATCATTACAATCTGAGGTAGATACACAGCAAAATGAATTCAAGTAATTCATGTCACACTTTACTCTCTGCCAGTATCAAATGTATTAGGAAAACCACTGGAACTTGAGAATGCAGCATAAAAGTTTGAGTTTTGCAGGTTTTCTTAAATTCATGCAGAGGTCAGCAAAATACCGCCAAATTGCTTCAGATAAAAGAGATTGAAAAGAATATATATACCTGAGAACAAACACCAGTGAAGCAATAACACTTATGACAAAAATGTTCAGTATCTTGATATGGAGTTTGGATAGAATTAAAGTGCATAACGAATATTGTGCTAGTTTCAGTATCAGTGGTTTCCTGTAGAATGGGGATTAACAGTAAATAAAGTCTTCTTAAAAAAAAAAAACAAAAAAAAACAAAACAAAAAAAAAAAAAAACCCAAAAAAAAAAACCACACAAGCACTGCTCTGGATTTGGCTGTTTTGCTTCTGAAGTTGGCAAAGCACATGAGACAAGTAAAATCCAAGCCACTGAGCTATCAGTTATACTTTGAGCCAAATAATATCACGGCAAATAGGAAATGTGGGAAGACTGACACAACTGCAAAGGCTACAATCCTGAAATTATTTTCCTCACACGCAGTGCTGAAGAACGAATCCAGACAGTAGAATTTAAAAAGCATCCACCAAGATTTGCGACATATATTTACTATTGCTTTACACACAGAGCTCCCATGAAAACCTTTAAGAACTGTAAACATTGCCAGACTGCAGAAAATGAACTTTGATAAAGGAAAATATCTGGAGAAATATTTAAATGCTATTTCAGGGACAAATTACTCCTCTCCCCAAGAAGCTTGCGTCTCACTGCTAGTTAATAAAAGTATGTTAATTTATCAATTTTGGTATGCAATGAATGCTTCAATAATCTAAGAAATCTCAGTTCTTTTTTCTTTTTTTTTTTTTGTTTCAACTCAGACAAGGTAGATACTTTCTGTGGAGGTGTGTTAGTACCAACAACTTCATACAGAGCGTGTCCATCCATGTCAGTTATGAATGCTGTCTTGGCACTATTACTGTTCTCCCTGGATGGAAATGAAAATAAGACCTCCTTCAGCATTAAGATTAAGTCAATCAGTATAAAAGGTTATAAAAAAAGTCATCTGCAAGTCGCAAGAGAGTATGCTTGAGAAAATGATTGGCTCTATATAGCTAAAGGTACTGAATGATTTTACTGCCGTTTGCCTGGTTTAAGTCTGTTTATGGAACATGCCCTGAAACAACTTGGCTTTAGGATTTGTGGTAAGAGCACAGACAGCTGGAAACCTTAGTCTTATTTAGACCGACTGACATTTCCTATTCTAATACACCTGAAAATTATTTCTTCCTTATTACAACATGATTTCATGAGCGATAGTAAAAATAGTTACATGTTAAACCATTATTTCTCAATATTTTACCTGACAGAGGGGCTAAAACCAGGAACCAGGCATTAGTTATTCTAAAAAGCTCCAGTAAGCCCAGAGCTAGAGCTGATCTTCATATACCGATCAACAAAGAGCAATTAACAAAAGTAATACTCTAATACATACAGCCGTGGATGCTGCCTCCAGAAAAAACTAGTTCTGTTCACCACTGTTGACAATATACCAAGAGAAAATGCAGCATTAAGGAGTTATAGTATCTGTTGTCTCTGCTACTTTCCTTTTCAATCTGTAATACTGAATTATCACAAAACTGAACAGTATATACTGATATTCAGTTTATTTTTCGAGCTATTCTACAAATAAGTATACATTGCATAGGTAGAATGTATAAGTAAATGAACCACCAGAGCTTTTGCAATGTGTTGATGGCTACTCCTAAAAGTACTATCTTTCAGAATTAAAGCAGTCCAGGTTTATTTCCAAGCAGAAATCCTACATATTATTTTAAGGTACATAGACAAATCATTTAAGATTCGCACATTTAATAACAACTTAGAAAGATACAGTATTTGGAGAGCTTTACATCTTATAAAGTAATAACTACTTCAATCCCAAATAAATATTACCTCCATAGGGACATACATGTCAACAGTCTTGTGCCCAAATGTGTTAGATTTCTCATAGTCACTTGCAAATACCACCATGTCATTAACAACTGCATTTATCAATGCAATAACCATTCGTAGGAACCTTACATCAAAGCAAATCAAATTAGTATGTTAAAAAAAGGAAATCAAGTTATTTTTAATATAATGACTGCACTTAGTGTTTTAAAATAACAGCAAGGATTTACTACTTTTTGTTACTACACAGCCAAGAGGAAGAGGCAGGGGATTTCACAGTTATTGATGAAATACACTGCAAATAAAAGCAAGCTTTCTGGATTTTTTTGGCTGCAGACAATCAGCTGAATGTTTGGCGATTACTGGTTTCAGAATAACTCTAAGTCAAAGCCATGCAGCATGAGCTGGACTTGCCAAGTGGTGACAGCAAAAAAATCAGAAACAGGCATTTTACTTAGGGCAACCTAACTAGGCACTTTGATCCTAATCAAATAAGACTACTCACAAGCAGAAAACACATGCTCACATCTTGGCAGAATACCTACATGTCTGTGCTACACACCCAAAATCAGCATCCACTTTGACTGCTCTACCTCCGAGTAAGTTAGTAAGTTAAGGTGAGAAGTTGTGCGATGAAAAAAAAAAATACAAAAATAGGATGAAACATTTAAATTGTGAGGTCAATGAAAAGTACGTGTGAGAAATACATGCATTTCTGTCTTTGTTACATACTGCTAATTAAATTTTAATGTACAGAGTTCTATACAGTGGAGAAAAAGGTAAAACACCGATGACAATGAAAAACCACAAGTGCTTTAATCTTTTACATAAGAGGCTACACCTATCAGTCCTGGAGCACAATATTTGGCAAGTGGGTTTCGGTAAGCAGAGCAAGAATAAAACACAATGCTCAGCCACCTCAGTACTGCCAGCAAACAGCACAAAGTTGTCTGGCCCACACCAGGGTATTTGTATCTAATTTCTTACTTGAAGTGGAACGTGATTAGAAAATAACATCATGAAACCATGCTATTATATCCAGTGAAAAAAGTGGCTAGGAACATCAGTCTCTGATTTTGAGAAACTTATGACAGTTAACTTCACTACAACACGTGTCTTTGCTGTGCTCCCGAATATCACTTTATTATGAAATTTCTAAGCACTCTGTGTATTCAGCTACTATTCCATTAAATGGTTTAGTACTGACTTTAGTGCAAGAGTAAAAATAAAGGCTTTCTTGTACTGTTTTAAAGCATATACAGGATAGATCTACAACATGCTTTATCCTCCAGACCATGCAGTCATATGAGACAGCCTAAGCACATACCCTTTGCCTCAGTAACATCACCTACCACAGACTGAAGACACCACAAATGGCGTCAGAACTAAAGAGTCATTTTTATCATCTTTTCCATTTTCATCCAATGATGGATATAGTTTTAAGGAGTCATTCAAAGTAATAAGGATCAAAAGCAACTTGTATATTTACATAATGAGCACTTATTTTTTGCAACACTAAATATACCTTTGTTTAAGCCAGCAACTACAGTATTTCTTAACTTTATTACTGAACACAGAGTAAGCATCACAAGAAACTAGCAGTTTAATACAGTTCAAAATATGTAACTGTATTAAATAATTAACAGTCATTTAAAGGGTCATATCACTGTCCTTATAACGTATTTTCATGACAAACTTCAAAGGTGAGAAAGATTAGGGCTGCATATGCAGAGATTTAATGAAGTATAAAAGGGGAAAAAAGGTTTTAACACAAAACACGAACTGATAAAATAGTTAATACCGAAACGCTAGTCTTAATTTGACAGAGATCAAAACAGCATTTTATAAATATACGAAGCTCTTAAGTGAGCATGTGTGCAGACATGTACATATTTAAACAGTTTACACACATGGATAGAAACCAAAAGAAAAAACAATACATCTGGGAACTCCACATTTTTACTTCTTGAAAACCCTAAAACAAATGAAAACTTAAACAATTATGTGAAACTATAAGGACAAAGATGTATCTCCATTCTGAACTGCACAATACCTTAAACCCTATCACATCTTCCCATCTTAAAAGCAGCATTTTATTACTTCCACCCTCAAAGTGAGTCACTGCTTTATGCATGCAAAGCTAACAATTACTTTGCTCTGATTATGTTCCTCCTATTTTAAGAACATCATGATTTTCTCCTACTCTACAGCGTGCCTTTCTGTATAACAAAAGGCAATTTCTGTTGCAACTTCTACTAAATAAATCATTGGGCTTATCCTACTAATAAGTATTTTTAAAAAATAATATACTTTCAGAATATTTACTGGACAATAAATTAAAATTTTTGGATATAGTATAAAAAGAGTATGAAAACAGCAAAACATGAGTGAAACGCTACCAAAAACGATTTTCGTCATTTAAATAGTATTCCTCTATAGTTTTTTGTTGTGAGGGGTTTTTTTTGTTTGTTTGTTTTTTAATTTGTTTTCTTTTAAAAAAGAAATTATATTTGAAAACAATTATAAATACAACAATGGGAAAAACAAACACAAGAATATAGTTTTAAAATACAAGAGGAATTCTGTTGGACAGTTCCAATATACCACTCATTTTAGAGCAAGCAAATCAGTAAGCATTTTATAAACAAGGTCTCCTGAAGCCCGGTCAACACTTTATGAAGGACTTAAAAAGCCCACAAAGTGACTGAAATATGTCTGCAAAAAGATGAAATTAAAGAGAACAAAGGTGTAACATTCTGTTATACAATTCCCAGCAAATGATCCTATAGGTAATTAAGTGCCTGAGACAGGCCAAGTAGAGAAGACATAAGACAAAACAAAATACGACATTTACAGCCTCTATATTTCCACTTTCTGAAATTAAACACAAGCAAACACTGATTCTTCAGACTTTAAACATGTGCATCTGAACACTTATTCTGTAGT